GAGTTTAGTCAATAATGAATAGAACAATCGACAACTTGAAGGGAATCGCAACTTGCCAAGTAGTCATCGACAACATCCTGAAAATAATCTACAAGAGCTAGGAAGTTGATTGAAAAAATCATTGACAATGGACAATCGACACAAAACCGTAACTGCTGGTTGGTTATGCTTATTGCCTCTAATTTCGGATTTTTGTAATTTCTAGTGGTTAAATGTTGTTGAATAACTTTTTTGTAGATAAGTGTTGTGCGGAGTAACTTCTCGTAACCACAGATAGATTAGGAAGCTATTTGTTTATTTGAATTTAAAAACTATTATTTGTAACCGTCGATAGTAGGCTATAAATATCCATGTTGTACTCTTTGTAATAGATTCCAAATCAATTAAAGAACTCAATGTTCGAAGTAATCTTGATTTTTACATTCCTGTATTTTATAACACTAGTGATGATTGTTCTTAGTGTCATACGTTTCCATTTCTTGTATTTACATTCCTATGCAAAATCAACAAGGGAATCATCGCAACCTTTGTCAATTCATTCGTCGGTCTATCTATACTTCGAAAGATATGTCATCAATACTATTTTGGTGAAGCATCTTTTTGGCACTCCTAATGGAACACATTTTGTTGATTTAAGGAGACTACGATGGTAAGAACTAGAAATCAACAAGAGTCCGATAATGTTGCTGGCATCAACAATCCAATATCACAAACTGGAAATGATGTTGTTGCACATTCACAATCCTCAGCCACTGGAAGGTGATAGAAGAAATCAATGCTAAAGGGGTAATCTTCCAAGGCATCTTACTAAAGAGCAGTTAATGGATGATGCGCCAAATTCCAACATAGTGTCTACCATAAGAAGATTGCTCGAAGAAAGACAAAATAATATAGCTAAGTAAATTATGAGTCAAATATTGGATGTGATGAAGCCAATTACCATTAATGTTGTGAATGATCCTCTATTGAGGATAGGATCGTCCAATCCACCACCACCACCATTCCAAGTCAATCCAGTGGTAATTAGGTATGTTCCTAATCTCTCTCTAATTATTGATACTAATAATGTTGGTCATAGTAATCAAACCCTATAAGAATTATGCATAGGCCCGAATGCTTTAATCAAGGTAACGATTAGGCTAATGTTAGTCAAAATAACCAAATTTATAACAATAATTTGGCAAATCAAACTGGTCTACAAGCCAGTCAACTGCCAAGTGTTGAAAATGTAAGGCCAGTGGCTCCATTGATACCACCCAATGTCAATATTCCTGTTGGACCTAACATGCTAATTAATGTAAATAATCTAGTGAGATCAACATCACCGCCTAGGGGGCAAGATGACAACTAAATCCACAATTGAACCCATCACAATTTGTCGAAGAAGTTTGACAACAATTGGGATTAGACATAGGTGTCATCATACCTATTTATATGAAATCATATCCCGAATGGGTTGATAATCGACCTTTTCCAAGAGGTTTCAAAATCCCTAACTTTGCCATTTTAATTTGCAAAGATGAACAATTGACCATGGAACACATTGTTCGATTTATAGCCCAGTGTGTGGAAGTAGGGACAAATGAGTTTTTTATACTTAGGTTATTTCCTTTGTCTTTGTCAATCGGGTTTTACCTAATACACTAATTTATCACCTAATTCGGTGTGTAGTTGGGCAGAGATAGAAAGACCATTTCATTCTCAATAGTATAGACCACTACCTGAAGTATAGGTCGCTGATTTGGCTAAACTTTCAATATGATAGTGAGTCGATCGATCAGTTTATTGCTCGGTTTTAAGAATTCGCGAATTTGGCTTTCAATGGGTTAAATTTTTAACTTGCGAGAAAGATTTGAAGGCGTAGACTTTGCCGATTTATTTCAATTGACAATGAGAGTGTCTAAGTATGAGCAATTGTTAAAAGATGGAGATAAAAGGACCACCTTAAGGCTTTACACAAAACGTGATTTTAATTGAAAATTATGATTATGAGTATGAATCTGACTTTAATGAAAACGTTCAAATAAATGTGGCAAAAATGATGCTTGACAAGCATTAGGGGTAAGCGGTTACAGGTTCCTTACAGGTTCCACTTGGAATCTAGAACCTACCCTCGGGTACAAGTCCCTCATTTTTTGGAACCTGAAACCTACCCGTTGGAACTTGAAACCTAATTCTAGGGTAGGTTCCAGGGTCTAACAGGTTTTTTTATTTATTTCCTTATGAAAATGAACGCAACAATACTGAACAAGCTTGCCATTCACCAAACAGAATACCAAAGACTAGTTTTCTTAGCATTCCATTCCAATAAATACAATTAAAATGAGAATTCATTGCGTGAATCGATATTAGGGATGAGCGGTTCCATGTTCCGTATAAGTTCTACCTAGAACCTACCCATGATAGTAGGATCCTCATTTTTTAGAACTTGGAACCTACCATATCAGAGGTTTGAGGGTCAGTTCCAAGGTCTACCCAAGTTCCACCTGCATCATTAATTGAACAATTGCAGTGAATCATCACCTTTAATGACTACCACTTGCTACTATGATCCACTGACTACAACTTATATTTAGACACATGAAGAATATAAAATATTAACAAGTCATAAAATGAAAACTCAGATTAGTGGTTCCAAATTATACACTGATGATCTAACACTATGAAATACCGCAGGATCACGCAAAGACATAGATCAAGAAAAAACACAAAAAACTCTTTTAGGTTTCAATTTCCAGGTTTCAGGTTCCACCTACCCAGAACCTGGAACCTATCCGTTGAAACAGGTTCTCTAATTTTTGGAACCTGGAACCTACCATGCATACCTTGGAACCTGGAATTTACAGGTTCCCACCGGTCAAGTTCTCAGTTTCCAAGTTCTACCCTGGAACCATGTTCACCCCTAACAAGCATTACGTTTGTCGATCCTTAAAGCCTGTTGAAATAAAAGAAAAAAGAATGGTAAGGGTTAAAAACACTCAACTTTACTCATTCGATAGCAATATTGCAAGCGGAAGGCCAAGTTATCCCGAGTGAAGGAGATTTAGTAAACAAAAAAAATAGGGAAAATACCACAAAAAATCCCAAACTATGCCACATGTGACAAATTTACCCTGAACTTTTTTTTGTGACACGAAAAATCCCAAACTATGCCACTTGTGACAAATTTACCCCGAACATTTTTTTGTAACATGAAAAATCCCAAACTATGCCACCGTGACACATTTGCCCTCGCCCGACGCCGGCGAGGGTCGCCCTCGCCGGGGAAGAGATAAAAAAAAATAGAAAAAAAATAGAAAAAGGAAAAAGACGAAAATGCCCATGGGCCAAAGTATTGTGGGGTAAATGTGTCACAGGTGGCATAGTTTGGGGTTTTTCGTGTCACAAAAAAAGTTAAGGGTAAATTTGTCACAAGTGGCATAGTTTGGGGTTTTTCGTGTTACAAAAAAAAGTTCATGGTAAATTTTTCACAAAAGGCATAGTTTGGGGTTTTTTGTGGTATTTTGCCAAAAAAATATTGCAAGTGGCACCATTTATATAGTAATAACACAATTAATTATGTTGTTTTTAAGAAAACGATTCAAGAGGCAATTCGACAAGGAAAAATCAACTTTACCTGATAAGAGGGTATATGATGGCTCTTGATTATTTAGTTCACAAGACTTGAATGATCGATGAATGTTTAATTCGTGCATGTGTATGTTTCATTTGGGAGGAGAAGGATCCACAGGGAAAAGTGTCAAAAAAATCCTAAACCTTTTGCTTTAGTACCGATTTAGTTCTGAACCTTTTTTTGGTGCCAATTCAGTCTTAAACCTTTTGTATTGGTGCCAATTTAGTCATAAACCTTTTTTTGGTGCCAATTCAGTCCTAAACTTTTTGTCTTTGTTTCAATTCAGTTTTTTCGGTCAATTTTAGCCAGATTTTGCTGACGTGGACGCCGACCGGCCACCGGCACTGACGTGGACAACTCTTAATAATATTTTAAATTTTTATTTATTCTTTTCTTTTCTGTTCTTTTCTTTTCCTCCCCTCCCTTCTTCCTCCAGCCAGTCGTCGGCCACTGGCGAGGTTGGCCCTTGCCGGATGGCCACGAGGGTGGCCTCGCGCTGGGAGGGCAAGGCTCGAGCCTTGTCGGATTTGGCGAAGGCTCGAGCCTCGCCAACGGCTGGCAGGATCTGGCGAGGTCTAGCCTTACCGGCGAATGGGCGAGGCACGACCTCTCCAGATCTGGCGAGGTCCAGCCTCGCCGGTTGCCGGTTTGGCGACCGGTTGGAGGAAGGAGGGAGAGGAGGGGAAAAAAAAAAGAAAAATTATTTAAAATTATTAAAATATTATTAAAATTTATCCACGTAAGCGCCGCAAAATCCGGCTAAAATTGATCGGAAGGACTGAATTGGCACAAAGACAAAATGTTTAGGACTGAATTAGCATCAATACAAAAGGTTTAGAGCTGAATTGGCACCAAAAAAAGGTTTAGGACTAAATTGACAATAATGCAAAAGGTTTAGGGCTGAATTAGTACCCAAAAAAAGTTTAGGACTAAATTGGCAACAATGCCAAAGGTTTAAGACTTTTTTGACACTTTTCCTATGATCCACGTATATGATGTAAAACACGAGAGAATCGTAACCGGCTTTTTCCTGTCTGTACAAATCGATTTTCTCCCACAATTACTCGTGCACGAGTCAGCATTGTGTACGTGCTCAGACTACTGGATAGTCCAAACCGATAACATATTGAGAATCTTTGGAGCCCGACCCAACCTGTCCAATGAATGGGCAACACTAGTAGCCTTCCCCGCAACGAGCACTGACCCAAGTGCTGCCGCTTTGCCAATACAAGACGCAAGATAGGGACACCTTACATCACCAAATGCTCCTGTTAGTTGAGACACACCTTTCACCTTGTACCAGGATTTCATGTATCGATCCCCAAACCCACCACCCCCCACCCCCCAACACCCCCCCCCCTCCCTCTTTATATATAAATGCACGTTCATGTCACTCGGCTTACAGTCACCACACATTTATAGATATACCTTAGCTTCTTCAAAACTTGAGAAAATGGGGAGCCACAAGCCTTACATCGCAATGGTGTCTGTGCAGTGTGTCTATGCAGGCATGGCCTTGTTCTCCAAGGCGGCCATTGCCAAGGGCATGAACCCTTTCGTCTTCGTCGTGTTCCGGCAAGCTCTCGCCTTCATCGCTATCTCTCCCTTCGCCTTCTTCCTCGAGAGGTCTCTCTATTTAACCGAGCAGTTTCTGCTTAATTTCATCTTGAATTGTTTCTCTCTCTATTTCGTTACGACCACGTTGCGCTCATTAAAAAAAGGGTTTTCTTATCATCTAATTTAATCAAACTTATAGGAAGGAGTCGGCGACTCTCACGTACGGCTTACTCTTCAAGATCTTCTTGGTCGCCTTCTTCGGGTATTCATGCATGCTCATAAGTTCCGAGGCTTTTTTGGCTCTCACTTTCAACGACTAGTTGGATGCTGGAGCTTTCATGATTATGTCTGATTTATTAGCATCAATGTCATGCGTTAGTTATTTTTGACTTCGGAATTCCAGGCTCACACTAAGTTTAAATCTCTACTGCGTGGCAATCAACTACACATCCGCAACTTTCGCGGCCGCCACAACCAACACCATTCCGGCCATTACTCTTATCATGGCCGTTTTCTTAAGGTAATTTCTTTCTCTTACGTAAAAGAAAAGGGAAAATTAGCACGTATATATGCTCTATTTGTCGCGACGGCATTGCGGCGCTGGGGCGGAGAAGTGACTTCTTACACGAATTAACATGATTCGACACGGCTAGGAAAGCAGATATCAACGGATCCAAAGATGAAAACGATTTGAAATATCTGTCTGTTCTTTTGTATTTGTTAGGATGGAGGGCATTAGTGTGGGAAAGTGGCATGGGAGGGCAAAAGTGGTGGGATCGGTGATGGGGGTTTCAGGGGCTTTGGTGTACGCGTTCGTGAAGGGCCCGCCCGTGAACTTGATCAACTGGTCTTCTTCAGGACATGCGAGGCAGTCGCCGCCGTCCGGCTCCACGGGCATCGGCAACCACTCGAGCTCCAGAGAGTGGATCAAGGGGTCTCTCATCATGCTCTCCGCCAACACCCTCTGGTCCTTGTGGTTGATTTTGCAGGTCCCCTCTCTCTCTCTCTCTCTCTCTCCATATGACTCAATACCTTTGCAAGTTAGCACTAAGTCAGCATTTTTCAAACAGGGAGCAGTTTAGAATTAAGTTGACTACACTAACCACCATTAGAGATCACACTCAGCTCTAAGTAGATAAATCTCATTACAATTTCACAAATTTACATAATTCTTGCAAGGTGATTAGTTTTCGTCTTCGAAACTTGATTGCATTCACATATGCTTTAACATTACAATTGCCTTTACAGGGTCCGATCATCAAGCAATATCCAGCCAAATTGCGGCTAACCACTCTTCAGTGCTTCTTCAGCTGCATGCAGTCAGCCTTTTGGGCCATTGCCACGGAGAGAGATCCAACGGCATGGAAGCTCGGATGGGACATGCAGCTTCTCTCTGTTGTCTACTGTGTACAGTTCCCTCACTGATGATCATTGAGATTCGCCCAAGATAGAAATATGTTTAGGGATACGAAACCTCGTTTTTACCAAATTTATACCCAAAAGTGACGTGTCAAATTGGGAATGGCAGGGAGTGATCGTGACGGCGATCTCGTACTGGCTTCAAGTTTGGGCCATAGAGAAGAAAGGCCCGGTTTTCACGGCGATGTTCACTCCGATCGCGCTCGTCATCGCCGCCTTCTTCTCGGCATTCTTGTGGAAAGAAACTCTCTTCTGTGGAAGGTTTGCACCACTGCTTATTTGTTTAGAGAAAATGACATTTCTTACTATTTTTATTATCTTTCCTAACGAACCCACAATTTTCTAGTTTTTCTATTTTATTTTGTCAATTTGGTGGGTGCAGTTTGGTTGGGGCAATGTTGATGGTGGGTGGGCTCTACTTTGTGTTGTGGGGAAAGATCAAAGAAGATGGAAACAGCAAGGAAGCGAAGGATGACCCACGACCAGAAACAAAAGAGGAGGCCACGTCGGACTGTATGGCCGTCTGACATCGTAGGACTATAAATTGCCCCGTCGATCCACAAATTAGGGCACGAACTCGACCATCATGATCCGAATCCATCTGAATCATCGAATTCGAAAGGTGCTGTTGAATACAAAGGATCGATCGACCAAAATCAATAACGCGGGACGAGTACCGTCTATATGCACCCGATACATGCAACAAGGTCGCCGATGCCCAAATTAGTATGCGTGTGTTTTCGATATATTTTTTTGTTTATTTCTTTTCAGGTTTGCTAACAATATGTAGATACGTGCATGGGAATGCGGATGGTTCCACTAGAGAATGTTGCCTTGGTTCGTTGTATATATCATGTCAAGATGACAAATGATGTCAATGATTATAAATGTCATTTACATCCATTCTCAGGTTTTGAACTTCACTATTTTTTGGTCGAGGAAGCCAATTATCGGATCGAGTATTATGAGCTTTCGAATTTTTATTTCAGATTGACACGGGGTGATTGGCGTTGGAATAGACGACTCGTGCTGGCATGTCGTAATCATATTGTTCGTGCCAATCTGAGTTGATTTAAAATATTTTCATTTTGTTTTCACATGTCAAATAATTAATTAGTTTGAAAAAGGGATAAAATCGTATACGAGAAGTTAAGATCGAGACTTCATTATCCCTAATTTGTCTCCCTAAAATAACTCTCGAGGAGGCAGTGAAAAGAAATTAGTATCCAAACACTTGTCGATTCCGACATTTATAAGCCAATTAACAAAACGATTTCCTTCTCGAAAGTTATATTGCACTTTAAACTTAAAGTGATAGCTCGACATTCTTCTGCTATCTTTAGCCAAAGCAGGATTAATATTCAACCATAAACTCTAGACTAATAAGATCGGTGATGGTTTTAGAGTCAATTTCAATTATGATATTATGAAAACCAAGTTGTTTTACTAAATTGAGCCCCTCTTCCAATAGAAGTGATAAAAATCACCAAGCCAATTGCCCCCTTTGTTTCTGAATAATCCCCCTACACCTACAACTCTTAGGTTGCCTTTCGAAACCCCATCAATATTCAGTTTAATCCACCCTGAAGGTGGAGGATCCCAAGTAACCAAAATTAGAGAAGTGCATAATCCATTTAACGTCAAGTTATTAACATACGAAGCATTGATGATTTCCCTGGCATGTGACCAAATTACTCGAATTGGATTCAAAGGAAACACAAAATTGTCCTTGAAAAGTGACTTGTTTCTCCATGGCAAAAAAACCATACAGTCACAGAAAAAATTATGCTCCAATCGTGATGAAAATTCGATCGTCCTTTACCAGTAAGATTTGAATTCAACCATCGAGACAAACTCATTGAGAAGAATTCTTCCAAATTATTGTCATGGGACAAACTCAAGCCATTTCATTCGAACAATTGGACCATCCTTTACACCATGTTATGTTGTTTCCACAAAAAGACTCACATCTAAAGCAATATAGGTTTCCTCCGAAGATGCGAGACATCTTCAGCTCATTAGTCAATAGTCGCTTATGAGCGGCCAGCAAAGGAAAGTTCAAATGTGTTAAGGCCCCCTCCACTTCCAAATAATGGACCATATGATATCAAGTTCTTAATTACCTACCCCATTGATTACCTCACACTCTGATTTAACTGAGAAAGACCCGCTTTCAATATCCTACCACAAAACACTATCTTCCCCGTCGAAGGCTATAGGAGGTTTGACTGCCCAAATTCAAAGATTACATCTTCTTATAAAATTCTCCGAAAATATCCAAAAATTTCAATTCCCATCCAGCATATCATCGCACACCTTTATCTCCATCTACATGCCAAATAATTAAATTACAAGGAAAATATATAAATTCATGTTGAACATATAAAATTAGGCACGCCGCGCGGTCATATTCTGGTTTGCTCTACGTGATTCGTGTTTAATCTCATGTCGTGTTCGTACGCAAACCGGTCGTGTCAAGCATTGTCGGCCCCCGGAAAATAATATACTCCCGGAAGATTTTTTTCTTTTTTCTCTTTTTTTGGGGTTTGGGAATCACTTTTCTGGGCCTTTGCAAATGTTAAGAACATGTTATGGGATCAAGCCCAGTACCTAATAATTAGCCCAAGCCCACTTCAGAAACTACAAATGTATCGAGGCCCCGAGATTTTCTGCGCAACAATTTGGACTTTTTTCTTTTTCTTTTCGAAGCTTTTTTCCCTCCTTGTAATACCAAGCCTTCTAATTACATTTCATTCTTCGACCAAAAAGAAAAATTTTATTAAACACAAGAAGTAGAGCACGAGCGTTGTGACCGGCAGAAAGAATAATTAAAAACCGGGCTCTGTTTGTTTCGTGAAATATCGATAATTCGGAAAATATCTCCCTAACTTTAATCCTCTCTTTCTTGAGAAAAAATAATAAGTTGCTGAAAATTATTTTCGTTATTAAATACAGCCTCGAGCATTTGAGTTGAGAATCATAACATTTCCCGCTACTTTATTTTTCCAAGGAAATAAATAATTTAATTGGGAAATTTTTTATCCAAATTATTAATTTTTCACGAAGCATAGGAGTGTGAATTCAAGATTCGAAGAAGCGAGAGTGCTATAGAATACTCATCAATAATGTCGATGGTCCTAAATTATGACTTGTCTGGTTACAGTCATGCACAGCTATGGTTACTGCTAAATGTAGGGGATGGTACTTATGGTTTGTTTTGTTTTGTAAAAATGAGGTTGATTTTACAAGTGAATTAGCTTTATTAAAGGTAAGAATCCCATGTGCTAATAATCAACAGAAGATAAAATATCATTAATCTTAATTGAAAGTTTGAGGGACAATAGTCATAGCCCGTGAGGAGGGTTAATGTCGTGATTCGAACGCGAGTTGTCGCATTGCCATCGAGCATTTCACTGCTCTAGTAACTTTTATTAGGAGCTTGCAAAACTTCTTTGAAGGTGCCAAATGATTGGCTTATAATGGAAACGTGCCGTTCCTGCCACCGTACGAGCTACGCATGCTACTATGCCATGTCACATTTCAAGTTCATGGCATTTTGTAGAACACGTTCCGTGAATGAACCATGTCCGTCGTGCAAGGCCCGGCTTATCCCGAAAAGCACAAATTTGGAGACCAAACGCTAGAGCCCCATCCTTGCTCCATGCAATCGATTTGCCAACGAAGAGAGGCCAAGATCTGTCCAAAGATGAAGCACACGGCATCTCGTTTGATCAAATTCGAACCTCCTTACTTAGAGGTGACCGGTTCTCAATCCGATCATATCTCACTTAAGAACCCTTCATCGAACTAGTGGGACCGATTCCCAGTTTTTGGAACTAGGGACCGAACACCGATTCGGTTCGGCACCCTGGCGATCCAATAGAACCGGTCATGATACGGAAATGGAGGAATAATCGGAGTTCATAATCCAATTGTCTGGCTCATTCATTTCCAGCAAACCTAGAGAGAGAGAGAGAGAGAGAGAGAGAGAGAGAGAGAGAGAGTGATGATCACGAAGAGATGTGTCCCAAGAACTGCCCTGCTCCTGGAAGACCTGTTGGGATTTTGGCATCTAAATCCTATAAAATTGAATGAGAAGTGTGTAGATGAAAGTGTTCCACATAGGATAGAAGAGGTGATAGAAGATGTGTGTCGATTTTTCACCGAACAGACACGTTGTATTCCGCAACTTCTTTTTCAGACAGACATAATTGTTCGTAATTGCTCATCAGACTTCTTTTTTTCGGACAGACATAATTGTTCGTAATTGCTCATTAGTCTAACGAAACATTTCGGTTCATTGTGACTCTTCGTTGTTTATAACCAAACGAAGTCTTGTGACTCTTCATTATTATTATGACTGAACCGAACTGAACATTTTCGGTGTTGTCTCTCGGCATTTTCATTTTTTGCGCGGCATTCTGCTACATTCTTATTCTTCATCATTGTCATTTTTTGTGCGATTATTCTGCGAAGTTGCATTCGAAGGTTTCCTTTGAAGAAGTACCGCTTCATAGGAAATGCGATCCGTTCTATCCTGAGAGGCAATTGTTCAACAACCTTTGGGTACCGGTAGAGGGGATAAATTGTCTTAAGGACACAACGTCAATTCGTTGGGTTCGGATCAATCGTCGAATTCAGATCACTCATTTCAGGTTTGTCGAACAATTTTACTTTATTTTGCACTTACAAACACACGTATACGTACAACAAGACCAAGTCCAAGTCCTCCATGATCAGCAAACCAAAGAAGCAAACCCTGGCCTCTCCCCCCATTTCATCTCGCTGATCAAGAATCAAGTATCGCTTGAGCTTGGGCCTTCAAATCTCTCCTCAATGCTCCCACACCACGCCACCGGTCTGAGAGTAGAGCGAAAGGGACGAGAGGGAAAGAGGCGGAGGCGGCGAGGCACGACCTCGAGCTCACAATCTATTAGAGCCAAGAGGCAATGATCGAAGAGTGAAGAAGGTCGAGCGAGCTCAGCGAGGCGTGTCGTGTTGCATGAGCCGAGAGAATATCTTAAGGTTTAGTTTTATATTTTTCCGGTTAGTAAAGAAATTAACAAATATATATCCGGTCCGGCTTCCACCTTAAAATTGGGAATCGGAATTGGCACCCCTCAGAATCGCCCAAAATCGATCGATTCGATATGATCCGGACGATTCCCTATTCAATCAGTCCGTCTTGCTTATCCCGGCTCCTTGTCTACGGGGCTTGGCGTTCAAGTTGGAAATCAACATCTCATCCGATTCGCAGAGTAAAATCGTGGGCTCACGATCGCGATGTGTGTGTGTTTTTTTTTATCCTCTAAAATCTTCGAGGAGGTTGGCATATCTCATTCGTCGTGGTTGGTATCCCCGCACTCGGAGGCCACCAAACATACATCACCCTGACGTCATAATTGGCAACAGTTTGCCTCATTCATCCCCCCCCCCCCCCCCCCAAAAAAATCAATATAATAAACCCAGTTATTAATAATAATAATAAAATAAAAAAAATGTGAACATCATGGGGATCGCGAAATTCCATTATCGTACAACCAGCCAACGAGCCTCGTCAACCACGTAATGATTGCCGAGTTTTAATCGACGCGTTTTCCCTTGAGTCGCCGAAAAGAATTCCCGTTGGACGGCGACAGGACGGAACGGGACGGAATGTCGGGGGGCACCGAGACGACGTCGCGTGGCGGTTACGGTGGCGGGGCTCGCAATTGAGGTCGGCGAGCGAGGGCATTTCCGGGAACTCGGCTCCGGTAATCTGAGTGCATGCGAACGTGACATTCGGGGAGGGGGGAGGATAGAAAAGCGTTGGAAGTGGCGCACTTTTCGGTGTTGTCAATGCCGCCGTATTTCCTATTCCCCCATTTCCACCCACGCTTCCCTTTTTTTTTCTCTTCTCTCTTTTTTTTAGAAAAGATTCTTCATTTTTCGGAGATATTCAGGAAACGTATATATTATTTTTTCAGGGGGGGTCGCCAGCAAGTAATTCTAATGTTTATTTCGCATGTCGGGGGATCAAAATCAACTCTCTCGTTTTACAAAAGGAGACCATTCCAATGAGCAGAGCCGAAGAAGGCTTAAAATGGCTCGCTTCTGCGGCATTTTGTTGGTTATTATGATGATGTCTTTCGGAGTTTTGTTATCGAGTGATTTCGAGATACCTGTAAAACATCTTTCATGAAAAAACTATGTGATTATCGTAGCATTAATTTTACGTAATTCGTGCATTCAAAAAGTGCAATTAAAACCTTTTCTTATAAGCCACTCCCTTTTTCCTAAACAAATTATTGGAATTGTGCCGGTTCCTCTCAACTAAGCATCATTTTCATCACTAACTAAAAGAAAAAAAAAAAACCCTTAACGTTGTGTTGGAATCATGAGTCGTTTGAACTGATAAAATATATATATTTAACTAATGAATAGCTCATCCTTGCTTAATCAAGTTTCATTTAAAATAACATTATGTCTTTTCTGAGCACTTTCCCACCGAAAACTTTGACTAGAGAAATTTCTTTTTAAGCGCCTCCAGAATAACAAGAAACATATAATGAATAAGTGCGATTACATATGTCCATGAGAAAATCTTTTTTAACATTAGGTGCGTCCATTTCGCAGAAAATGAGTGATTTATAAAATATTTTTCGAAAAAAATGATTGCTTATATCGCTTAGAAAAATTAGTTAAAGAAAAATAATTTTTATCATCGATATCAACCTATGCCTAAATATTTTCGTGAATAATGAAAAAAATTTCTACTCGTTTCTTTTTGTAAGTGATACAAGCTACTATTTTTTAGAAAATGTTTTCTAAATCACTTATTTTTCACGAAACGAACACATCATTAATAACATTTAATGAATTTTATCTAAGCGTTTCAAGAAATCTTTTTAAAAAAAAAAGAAAAAGAATTTTACGTGTTCTGTCGAAATTAAGAAAAAGAGAGAGGGAAAAAAGTGGGTAGTGAGAGAGAGAGAGAGAGAGAGAGACGCACGCACAGAGGGATGACAGGAACAGAGAGAGACTGAGGTGGCGGAGACTTGAAGCATCATCAACCCGAAGCGTTTCCCAGGCTCTATTTTACCCCTTCCCCTTCTCGCGTCTGCATGGCGCGCGCACTCGCCCTCGCCCTCGCCTCCTTCCTCCCCCCTCTCCCTCGCCGCCGCCGCCGCCGGCGATTCCATCTCTCCGGCCGCCTCCGCTCCGGCCCCCTCCCCCGCCCCCGCTTCCTCCGGTGAATCGCGGGCGCCGTGCTGGATCAGCTCGGCGAAGCTCGAGAGCGCCCGACGGCGACTGAACTGAACTGAACCGAACCGAACCGAACCGAACCGAACCGGCGGGCAACCTTTCGCGGCTGCCGAATAGTTTTCTCGGATTCTCGCTCGTGCCGGCTTTGTTCGCGGAGGCATTGAGTCGGACCGAGGTCGGTTCTCGCCCGTCCCTTCCTTTCGCCGCCGCCGCCGCGGTGGTTTGACCCCGTTGACAGGGGGTTTGAGCTCCAGGAGGAGGTCGCTTAGGGTTTCGGCTGGGGTTGAAATTCTAGCGAGAATCGCGCGCGGTCGGGGCTCTTTGATGTCGGAGGATGGGGTCGTCGCGGAAGTGCATGAATGCGCTGTGCGTGGAGACGGGTTCGACCGAGTGGAAGAGAGGTTGGCCTCTCCGATCTGGTCAACTCGCCACTCTCTGCGATAAGTGCGGGTAACTCTTGCCCTTACCCCCCTGTTTCGCCCGTCGGTTTGACTTTCGATTTTCTCAGTTCTATGGGTCCTTCATAGCGGTTACCCTGGTTTTCATATGATGTTGATTTCGAATGTTTATCTAATCCAAGTAATGAGCAGAGAGGTGCTTTGGATGCTTAATAGTAGTTGCTAATGTCGAATTGGACTGCTTCCAGGTCGGCATATGAACAATCCACATTTTGTGATGTTTTCCACTCGAAGGACTCTGGATGGAGGGAGTGCGCTTCTTGCGGCAAGGTGAGCAGTCAGTCTTTGAGGGCGCGGCTGAGAGCCTGCGTAATCTGTTTGTGATGATTTGGTTTGGATATGAACTGGCAGCGCTTGCATTGCGGATGCATTGCTTCGAGGGTGCTGCTGGAGCTGCTCGATTGTGGCGGGGTGAACTGCGCGACCTGCGCGAAAAGTTCAGGACTTCTCCCAGTAAGATATAATTCTCACTCTATATCTGTATATATTTTTCCTGAGTTCCCAAAAGTTTCTTCCCTTTTTGTACTCTTGATGCTTATTTTGCATCACGCACCATGGGCTTCTTTATTAAATCTCTAAACGGTGCACTCCTTGTTAGAAAGTTTGTACTCCAGTGATAGCTCATATGATGCTTTTTGATGCTTATATTGATTTTGGGACCCCAAGGATGACTAGGAATTGGTAGGGTTGACGAAACTGTGATTAGCGAAGCAATGATGCCTTGTGAAGCCAGAGAACTCTTTAACATGTCGCATGGTATTTCAAAACAAAACATGTAGGATGGGTTAGACACTTTTACTTCATTCGCAACTCTAATGTTACTTCTGGAATTTGTGCTCGCAGATCACAAGTGATGAGAGGCCTAATGAGTTTGGCACGATTAGTGTTCGTACTGGTGAACTGCAATCTAGTACCACAGACAACCATTTTGATAGTGATGATGTTGATAAACTGAAGCTGATTCGATTGGGGAGCAGTACAGATGATTCTGGCCTGGGGCAGTCGCTTCTGACTCAGTACAATGACACAAACAGATCACTTGAACCAACGAACAGGGAAGGAGTTATCATTACGCCTTCTGCAGGAGAAATGGGCGGCTCATGTTATCTGCTAGCAAGTAAAGCATCCAATGGTGCAACTCATGTTTCCCAACCGGACATTTTAAAAGCAAATATAGTAGCAAAAGAGTTTGATGATCCCCATGCGCGGACAGACCTCAGGATGACTATCGGTGTCCCTTTAGGAAAATCATATCCATCTTTTAGGGACCACAGTACAACACCGTCACTATCACCGCACGGACCAAAATCTCGCCATGTTTTGCATAAGCCACCTAAGCCGGCCCTTGCAAGTGGATATGAGGCAAATGCTGGTGTTGTTTCTCAGATACGAGTTGCAAGGCCGCCTGCTGAAGGTCGTGGGAGGAATCAATTGCTTCCTCGTTATTGGCCTCGGATTACCGACCAGGAGTTACAACAAATATCTGGAGAGTATCCTTGAGTGAAGTTTCCTCCTCTTCTACTGCACATTTTCCATTTACCTGGCTACACACAAACATGATTGGACAGACACATTGGATTGGAGAGTCATGTTGACTAGTTTTCTGTTTTTCCTTTGAACACAGCACTACGTTTCATGCTTTCTCAATTTTGTTTCCTTGACTTTGCTATTGTCTAAGTTCAAATTCCACAATTGTGCCGCTGTTTGAAAAGGTTCTGAGTGCTAGTGACGCAGGTCGAATTGGCCGTTTAGTATTGCCAAAAGCTTGTGCTGAAGTAAGCTCCTTCATTTGTTCTTTCTTATATTTAGATTCTTTGGATTCCATTGCTGGATCCGAAGGTTAATTGATTGTCATATTATGTTCTGCACCAGCAATAAATCATCTGATAACCTTTCAGGCTTATTTTCCACCTATTTCTCAACCAGAGGGCCTTCCTCTACGGATTCAAGATGTAAAGGGAAAGGAGTGGGTGTTTCAGTTCAGATTTTGGCCCAATAATAACAGCAGGATGTACGTGTTGGAGGGTGTAACTCCTTGTATACAATCTATGCAGTTACAAGCTGGAGACACCGGTATCTTCTAGTATTTGCTATCATTTGTGCAATGACATGTCTGACATTATTCTCCTACGTTGAGTACTTAATATAATGTTAATCCCAATTTGCACTAATTCACCAGGGATTGCATAACAGCTAATAATAGTGTGGCTTTGGTCAAATCTGGATGGTACCCATTTTTAATGTACTTTGCATGCCGTTTCTTGTCTCTTCGTGTTTGCATGCGCTCCCAGAAATATGGTTTTCCTCTTCACTGTACTGTGAAGGGAGTTTTTTCTGCTAATACAGAGCATCATCAGAATGTTCCTGGAATGTAGCAGTCAGAGAACACCACCTGCAACTTTGGAAATAATGCCTTGGATATGACGAATATAAAATGTCTTGTTTTTGTGATGGAACGGATTGGAGAGTTTAGACCACAAGTCAAGGGCCATAGTTCATTCTAAAGGAAGAACTTCTCATTCTAAGAAAGTTTGGCTGCTCATGAGTCAAATGCATAATCTTGTTGTTTGTAGAGCTTCCAAATCATCTAATTTACTAATAATAGTGTTCATTTTGATTCTATTAGTACTTCAGATAGTTTAGAGCACAAATTGAGGGCCATAGTTCATTCTAAAGGAAGAACTTCCATTCTAAGAAAGTTTGGGTACTTTTGGGTCCAATGCTTGATCTTATGGTTTTTGGAGCTTCCGAGTCATCTAATTTACTTATAATTGTGTTCATTTCGATTCTATTAGTACTTCGAAGAGTTCTGCACTTACAAGGGACTTGTTTTTGCACAAATTTTTCTACAAAGTTCCTATATATGCTGCTTGGAATGGTCTCTTCTTTGGTTACCGTCGGAAGGTTGTTAATGCTTGCTATGTTATGATGCAGTAACTTTTAGCCGCATGGACCCTGAAGGGAAACTTGTAATGGGGTTCCGGAAAGCATCGACCTCTATGATGCAGGTACATTTCTCATTAACCACTATCAAGTTGCTTGCTAGCAGATCGCTGCATAAATAGCTATTTGTACTTGTAAGCAGGACAGCCAACTAGCTGCCATTTCTAACGGTAACCATTCAAGTGAAGCTCTGATTTCTGGTGGTTTTGAAAACCTACCTATGATAAGTGGGTATTCGAGTCTCCTTCATTCATTTAAAGGAAGCACAGATCCCCAACTAAATGCACTATCCAAGCATTGGAGTTCAGCTAGTGGTGATATAAGTTGGCAAGGCTCTGAGAAACATGGACTCCCTAGGGATGCCTTCTTGCTTCCGGGAATGTCAGCCCAAGAGAGGAAAAAAGCACGCAACATTGGGTCCAAAAGTAAAAGGCTGTTGATTGACAGTCAAGATGCTCTTGAGCTGAAAATGACATGGGAAGAACTCCAGGATTTGCTTCGGCCACCCCCAAGTGTTAACCCAAGCATCGTCACAGTTGAAGATCATGAGTTTGAAGAGTATGACGTGAGTTTTTTGTTTCGAAACTTTCTATTCTTTTATAGACCTCTTTGTTGGTTCTGGTAGAGCAGTTAAGATTTTTTTGTTTAAAATATTCGGTCAATGTGAAATGATTGTGATGTTATACTGTTAGCTTCTTTGGGAATATGACAGTCTAACTCTATGATAGATAACTGAATTGCTTGATAGCCGCTGGTGGACAAAACAGCACTGCTTATTAATCAGTGTTTAGTCTTTTGATTGGGTTCGGTAGAGCGAGTGAGAATTTTTCAGGTGATTGTTGGGTCCATGTAGACAACTCCATCTGGTGATGAAATGCTTGCGTGGTGTTATACTATCAGCTCCATACTTAAACGTTCAGGAATTTGTCTGATGGGCAATATCCATGAGCATGTGGACTGGCTAGAAATGGTACTGCTCGCTAATCAGTGATTTAAGTTTGTATCTGCTCAAAGTATTTTTGTGAGCCAATTAGTACCCAAATAACTGTAAATCCATCTTATCTGGAGAAGGTAGTACTGCTGATAGGATAAATAGTTTGCATAAGAAGTTGCTTATGGAAATTACTTGGGATCAGGCCGTCGGACATATCAACAAATTTAGAAGGGGGAAAGTGATTTTATTGTGGCTTCTTTGAAACTACAACATACTCTCATGCAAAGAATATAGTGTATACATACAGTATATGTGTCTTTACAATCATTATGTTTGTAAGTTTTTTTTTTCAAGTCTGTACTATGTGGTCAAATATGCTTTTACGAATGGCTTGGGAAATGATACGGAACTGCTGACAATTTCTGGTCCCAGATTTCACCCCGTTCTAGAAAGATATAGTCTACATTATCTAAAGTATCACATATGGTACATTTACAGGAACCTCCAGTTTTTGGGAAAAGCAGTATTTTTATACTTCGCTCCACTGGGTAAGTTAGTTCTATTTTCCAATCTGCATGTCGACATTTTGAGTTCCTACATGCATATTATCGAAATTGGGGAGCAATACCAATGTGATGAGAATTGTGAGTGTTGGAATTTTGGCATGTAAAAAGACTAATGAAAGCACCTGTTTCCAGAACAATTGACATCGTTTAGAAGGTCTTCCAAGACAATGTGTTTTGCTAGCTATTATAAGGTTTTTTCGTCTCATTGTTTGCGAGACAAACTTATCACTTGTACATTGAATCTGTAAAGCTGTTTAATTTTACACATACCTTATTTACTGTTATGACCAATGCGAAAACTACAACGGAATTAAAACTGAGAAAAATAAAACAACACACAGATTTACGTGAAAAAAGCTTGCGGGAAAAACCATGATGAGAGGAGAAGCAAAACCCACTATGGAAATTCAAGGATTACAAAAGGTGGCTAGGAGAAACTTAAGACTCTTTCTATCTCTACTTAAAACCTAATTACTTGGGAAAAACAATTTTTATACTGCTCCATACCGTGGGGGGTGCTGGGTGGCAGCCCTGCCGAGGATTAGTGTTGGGTTAAGCCCAAGCCCTCCTCTATCAACACTAAACCTCCATTTTTTTCTCAAGTCAGGTCGACACAAATTTCAATGCAAGTATCAAAACTCAATTTAGGTCAAATGCCTGAAACAGCATTTACGACATACTCAACATTTTACTTTAGGGTAACCTTACTTCTATTATTCATATCGTATCTATGCTTGTAAACTTCCAGGAGTAGCGAAATAGAAGAAGAAGAAAGAAAGTGTAGCATCCCTTTGAGGATGAAAGTGGACATTGATTCTGGAATAGATCTATATGTTCCGTAGAAGTGTATCAAAGTGATACGATTTATATCCCATTGATGTTCACTGAACCTCTTCAGAGCTCTGCATAATAGGTTTAAGGATTGGATTTGGACACACCATTATTTTCAATGAATTTCGCTTTGACATGCTGAAATGAGCTGTCAAGATTACCAGAAAGGCTACTGTGCTAGAAGAAGAAACTGTGATTTGCTTCATCATTCTCCCATTTTTGTCAGATGCCAAGCTATAATAATTCTTCATTTTGGCCACTTTATCATTCTTCTATCTTTTTCCTGGAGTTGATATATAATTGACTTGATGCTTCTAATTTCAATTTCGTTCATATGCAGGGGACAAGAGCAATGGGTTCAATGCGATAGCTGTGGTAAATGGAGAAGGTTGCCAGTTGATGTTCTTCTTCCTCCTAGGTGGACCTGTGCAGACAATGCCTGGGACCAAAGCAGGTCAGCAATCACTTTGCTAACATATGGTGCTTGATGCAAGTGATGAATCAACTTATGGACCTAATACTTTTGTATTATCTGCTATAGGCGTTCATGTTCTGTACCAGATGGATTGACCCCCAGAGATCTGGAAAATCTTCTGAGACTGACCAAGGGTATGAAAATGATGCATGCAGTGTCTGCTTACACTCCATTCCTCCTTTCTTTTGATGAGAGACAAAAAATAAGTCTAAATGAAAAGCACTTTTGTCCTTCTGGCAGGATTATTGCGCAGAACACCCTAGTTAAACCCACTTACGATTAAGAATGTGAGCAAGAGTATCTGCAAGGTTATATTGGTAGTTATATAACAGACTTGGATGTCTATTATGTTTATCCTCCCGCTACTTATTGCCACATGAAAACCAGCATAGCTCATTGAATTCTCATTACCCTTCCTTGAGTTTCTTCTACTACAAGTAGGAAAATGGCGGCATGTCAAATATACCCTTGTGATAGAGTCTGTATCATCCAGGGAATGTAAAGTTTCTCCCTTGCCAAAATTATATTTGTCAAGAGTGTGAGGAAATCCTTGTCCACAATTCCGCGATAATTTTGTGGGTTGCTATATCTAACATTGAGGGGCTTGTGTGCTAATGTGGACATTGCATCTTTTATATCTCATCCCATCCACGCTTGCAGAATTCAAGAAAAGAAAACTAGCGTCAACCTTCAGGCCGACCCTGGAGCACGAGTCATCTGGTCTAGATGCCTTGGCCAACGCCGCGATTGTTGGAGATGATGGTGACCCAGGTACAACATCAGTTGCAACGACTACAAAGCACCCAAGGCACCGTCCTGGTTGCTCTTGCATCGTTTGTATCCAACCCCCCAGTGGGAAGGGCAAGCACAAGCCGACGTGCAATTGCAATGTGTGCATGACCGTTAAGCGCCGGTTCAAAACCCTAATGATGCGCAAGAAGAAGCGCCAATCAGAGCGTGAAGCAGAGATTGCCCAGAGAAAACAGGTGTGGGGCTCTAAGGATGAGATTGAAGTTGATAGTACCTCTACTCATCGATCTTCACATCACAATCCTTCAGAAAATGAATCCAGGATTGGAAATGAGTTGGAGTCCCAGAGCCAAACAACCAACTCGGCCAACACATTCGCTGAAACTGGCAAAGGACAGATAAACTTGAATTGCCAACTTGATCTCAATTGCCAACCAGACCGTAACGAAGATCTTAAATTGGGCTCGAGCCAAACAAGTATGATGAATCTTCTTCGGGTGGCTAGCCAGCCGTTAGAGACTTATTTGAAGCAGAATGGTCTCATGAGTTTGGTGTCCGAGCAGCAAGCAAGTCCAGCAGATCACGTGCAACTCCAAGGTGCCACCACAGACAATGAGGGACAACATTCGGAGGATCACTGCGTTGATTCAGAGATTCAAGAGATGGCCCCGGAAAAGGATGGTGCGGATGAAAAAAACTCCGCTCCAGATCAGGGCGAAGGCGACCCTTAGGGAAGTCCCCCAGATCTCCTCTTTAGCTTTTTCTTTTTTTCCTGGTATGTGAATGTTCGTTAGATTACACGCATCTAGCAAATGAGTGTTTTTCTGCTACTCGTTTGTTTCCGTGCTTCATAATAATCAGCACTACGAAAACTAGAGTGCAGAAGCATCTAGTTTCCATAGAAAACTGGCATCACGTTCGAAGAAGGATACGTATACTGCGGAAAATAGGGAATTTATCGACATCGTGGGTAATGTAAATTTACCAATTTTCTTGTTACTGGCCTTTCCTCTCTCTCTCTCTCTCTCTCTCTCTCTCTCTCTCTCTCTCTCTCTCTCTGGACTCACCTGAAATTTACTCATGCATCAATAGCCTTTTTGCCTGAACAAGTAAACACCAACTGCTGCTTGACAGTAGCATCCTCAAGCTTGCTCCATAAGGGATGGTCTCAAGCAGGAGCAGGGCTAGCTTTCAAAAGATGCGTGGTGCATTCTTGGCTCCATCGGTCAAACAATATTTAGAAGCTGAGGAAGACAGGTGGCTCGGTCATGCGGGCCACAAAACAATACCTAATTCAAAAACCACATGGGAGTGCTTAATTCTAGACGATGCGGCAGTACCGTGTGACTCGACTAGGATCTTTGACAGATAAATTTTGGGGTCGGACCTCAAGGAATCGTTCATGATCTTTGAGTTCCTCCCAAGTTTCATTCGAATTTGTCTCAATACACTCTATGCACCCGGACATGAGAAAATTCTAATTTGCATCCTATTGTATTGGCGCACTCTCAGTTTCATATATTTTTGGAACTCACATCTGCCTGATTTCAGTTAAGCTTCATCTATCCAAATGCTATGTACGTATCTTAGAGAAGGTACAAACTCCATCCATAATTTGCAAAGATGCCCGCCCTCGTGACCGTGAGTATGAATTTCCGTTTCAGAAACGAGATCAATTTGGCCAAAGAAACAGACCGATTCGGTAAAGTCTTACGATTCACCTCAATTATACACACATATTAATCCGCGAAGCTGGACTTGTTGGAGTGCGCACCGGTCCGAATATCACTTCACCGCTAAATCCAAAAAAATAAAGAGTTGTAAATTGTGCATGTTGGGCGGCTCATATCAAGAGCCACCACCGACTTGGCGAAGTATCGTGCTCGGTCCAAGTTTCTCTTGGTCAAGAACCCATCTTTTCTTTTTCTCTAAACGTTTTGTTAGGAGCTGTTTCTGGGTCGCGTCGTTGAACTATCAAAGTCAACACGTACATGGGGATGAGATTTCTCTAAAAAGAAATCTCAGAACGAAAGTTTTACGAAACTTTAGGTTTACAAAAACAGAAATTAGCGTCACGGTCTACATCATCACGTGAATGTAGAGAAAAAATAGTTGAAATTAATCAATTTATATATATATATATATATTATAAGGTGGGACCGGGTAGTGTGCATACCGTGGACTCTCACCATGGGATCCTTCCTCGTAAAAGAGCATCCTGCTTCTTCAATGCCACGCCTCCCTCTGTACGAATGGCAAAAGTAGATGAGCCACCGGATCGGCGTGGGTCGCAGCCCCTTTTTCGTGCGCGGTCAAAGGTCGGTGGAAATTTATAAAAAGATAGATTGGAACGGTCCCGTTTCAAGAGTAAATCGAAGATTATCCTCTCTGACGCGGCCACCATCTACAAAACAATCAAACCCTTGATTGCTAGGGTGACCATGCTGGTCCTGTAAAAATACTTTTCGAGAATGCGAAAAATCCCGGTCCGACGATGATTTCGACGATCGCTCGCCCTGATCGCATGCGCAGAGCTTGCGAATCGGCTTCCGAATTGGTTCTTCTGCACGTGTCGATTGATGGGACTCGACAAGAAAAGTTGAGAATCTTGACTTGCCTTAGGGGACATTTGCTTAGAAAGGTCTTAGTCCTATTATGGGACGGCGAATCTTGACTTGGCCAAAATCGAAAAGTTTGAAAATTAAATTATCTGCTGTACAGTAGGTTTATGACTCCTATTTTTTTAACAATTTTTCCTAAAAGCAATATGTACACATTTATGTCCTTTCGTGATTTGCCTTGAGATTCTTCGTGTAAATAAGTAGCTCCAATGGGACTATATATGCTCCTCCTTCGCAATCTCATCATCACTAAATTATTGATTATTAAAAAGAAATTAGAAAGAAAGAAGTTGGACCCTTTTCAATTACATCCTTACACCGTGCAATTACAATTAGAGGTGAACAGTTTCAAGTGAAACCTGTACGGAATCACATTTAATGATCATCAATTGCTATTATGATTTCCTAATAACGATTTATATTTAGAGACACGAAAAATATGAAATATTAGCAAGTCATAAAATGAAAACTTAAACTAGTGATTCCAGATTACACACTCATCATCTAGCGCTATGGAACATTGCAGGATCACGCGAAGACATAGATAAAGAAAAAAAATAAAAAGATTTGTTTAAGGTTTCGGGTTTCAGGGTTTACCTACAAAGAATTCGGAATTTACCCGTCGAAATAGGTTTTCTAATTTTTTGAACCTGAAACATGCTCTACATACCTTAAAATCTGGAACCTATAAATTTTTACCGATCGAGTTTTTGGGTTCAGGTCCCCTAATTACAATCGCACGTAGCTACTGAAGAATCTCTTTTGGAGGATTTATTTTCAATTTTTTTGCATTAATCAGTGTCGCGAAAGTTCGAAAAAAAAGAACGCAAAAAAAAAGTCAGGCACCAATCATAGCGCCTACTAACTCGCGTACTATTCGACCCCGAAGAAAAAAAAAATTTGGCGTACCGAAAAAAAAAAAAGGCTCGACGATGGCATGCCTCCGTAATTACGGGGATTTTGCCGAGGGCAGCATGGGAAATTCCCGGGGCGCTCGGTTTTGACGAGTTTTCATGATGCGAGCGTGCCCCCCCGTTGTAATAATTTCCCCCACATGAAACCCACCGCGGTTGTCCCCACCCCCCACCACCCCCCGCCGCCTCCGCCACGCGTCCCGATCACCGCCCTCCCCCTCCCTCCGATCGCACGGCCGGAAACGGGCCGAGGCCCGCGCGTCCGCATCACGCGCCGTGGTCCTTCACGCGCTCTATCCCTGGCCCCTTAATTAAGGACGCTTTAGTCATAATCCCGGGTGTTTTGGTGCAATTAACGAAGTAACATGCATAGATATGAAATTCCTTTTATCCCGCACCGTGCATAGATAGTATTTCAAAAAATAGTTTTATGGGATAATGACACGAATAGCCCCTGAACTTTGGTATTTGATCCAATATACAATATAGTCCCCGAACTTTTAATTTGTTTTAATATGATCCTTGAAATTTAGCTTAGCGTGTAATTTGGTCCATGGGACTTTCAATTTGTTCAGCGTGGTCGTGTTCAAACTAGTCCCTGGACTATATGAAAATGTACGATATTGACCCTGAATTTAAATTAATGGAATGACAGTATTAAATATTTATAAATATTCTAAAGATTAATTTGAACACAGTACAAAAAGTTTATGAATCATATTAAACGAATTAGAAGTCTAGGAACCACATTAAACAGTTTCGGATAAAATTCGCTTCCAATCCTTCCTCCTAGATTCAGCTCTAAAATCTTTAATTAATATTCGATGATCAAATAACCGTTTTGAGGTGATCCTTAAGGGGAACATGACACACGGTGTTTCGTAGTCGCACGACAAGTGTCGAGACAGAATGTTACCGCGTCAAATAAACAATGTTTGGATCGCTCGAAAAGATCCAATCTCCCATCACCGAGGAACCAAAAAAACTCAATAGTGTAACGCTAATGATTACCGAAAACGCGCAGAAATCAGCACATTATTCTCGGATCAAACGTTTCATCGTCCTAACACACAACCTCGACCCAAAGAGCAAGTAGCCGATTATATAGTTCGAAGAGCACATGATAATTTCTCAGATCTAACTTGAAGACGGAGTGCCGGGGGTGAACGAATGCCCTAATGACACTAATCAAGCATTATGTATGAAGCAATTACCGACCAAAATGGGAAAAAAAAAACCTTTTAAATCAGTTATAGTTAACGAAGTTGCTCGTGAAATTTTCGTTTTTTTTTCTTTTATTAGAAATGTTTTCGGGCGACCGGCGTCTGGCCACACGCCACCGCCCTCAGCCGTCCGATCCCCTCGCCACCAGCCGGTAGCTCACCAAAGAAAGGCCCCGATCCGCCGCCCCGAGGCCCGCCACGTGTCGCTAACGGCGGTTAAAGGGCGACGACGTCCCCCGCGGGGGGGGCAAGGTCAACTGCCGAGGGCAGGGCCGTCATTTCGGCGCGGGAAAATGGAAAAAGAAAAAGGAAAGATGGTTTTTTCCGACGTAGGCTTGCTTTCGGTTTGGTTTTTCGGAATTTTTTCTTTTTTTGACGGTCGTGTTTTTAGTTCTTCTTTTTTTTTTTCTTTTTGGTCGTAGCCGTGTTTTCAGTTGGTGAAGCGGATTTAATAAGGTTTTGGAGTCCATTCCTCCACACACGGAGAGAGAGAGAGAGAGAAGAGAGAGAGAGAAAGAGAGAGACTTTTCAGATAGAGAGGAGACTTTTTGGAGAGAGAGAGAGAGGAGCTGTGCAGCATTGAAGTGATCTGAAGAGGGGGGGGAGAGATCTGGAGAAGAAGGTGAGCTGCTACTGCTCCCGATCGCGTTCTGATCGATCGTCTTTGTTCGTGGGAGGTGGTGGTTTTTCTGCGTGTTTTTTTTTGCCTGTATTTTCTTCTTGCTTTCTTTTTTTTGGGGTTCGGCTTTCCGTATCGTGGCTTGATCGGTGCCTAAATCTGGGCGAAGAGATCGTCGGTCGAATGTGCTTGTACGTGATCGTTTCCCTTGAAAGATTCACGGGCTAGATCATTTTCAGGTCTTTTGTACTGATTTCTTGTGTTTCCGAGCTGGTCGCCTTGGTTCCCCTCCTCGCCTTGGTGTTCGGAGAGTCAGCTCCGTTTTCGCTCCTGTCTTTAGCTCCTGGATGTTGGAAACTATCTTTCTTGCTGTTGGTCGGGGATTGTAGTGGAGTGGGTCGTGTTTCATTTCTCGTGGTTCTTTCTGCTCGTTTTCGGGGTTATCTTGTTTTTCTGGCCGTGACCTTAGGGATCGATTGAATGTCGTTTTTGTCTTCGGGGAGGTGATTAATATGCGGAAGTTTGCTCATTTTTCAGGAAATACTTTGTAGCTTTCGGTGTGTTCTCGCCGAAGCCTTGACCTTTGCGGTTCATTTGTATCCGAAGGCTTATAGGTGAACCGACGGACCGCCTACATAGATATTTCCAGTATCGTATGATTTGCGGCTCAGTTTCCTTTATCCGTAACGTTTACCTAGAAATCGGGGAAATTACCATTTTGAGCCTTCCGGTTGCGCGAAAAAGGACCAATTTTTGTGTATTTATGGCTTATGCCGGTAGCGTTACATCGCAAGGGTTTTTCTGTGTTAGATCAGATACGAGAGTGGAAGAAGCGTAGCTCTCTTGAAGTTTCTATAATAGCCTTTAAAGCCCATTTGCTGCTCTATTTTGTTATGTTTGGACAGTTGTGCTCCAGCTAAGGGCTTTTAGCTGTTTTATCACGTATTATGGTGGCTCTTTGTTTGCTTAAGCGATGTTTTGACTTGCTTATTATGGTGGCTCTTTTTTTTTTTTTTTTTGGTATTGGTTGCATGGTGAGATGCTTCCTTTTGCTTTTCTTTCAAAGATTCTACATTTGAATTAACTTCACATATTTGGCCCAATAAAAGACTCGACTTAATGACGTGGATTTTAATTCGAGATTGGTTCACAGATGAGATAAAAGACCTGCCAAAAGATGTTTCTGCTAAAAGCCTGGTACTTTGAGGTTGCTTTAGTTCCATGCGAGGGTTCTTTTCGGGGAATCTACTTTTTCTTTGTTTGTTCTTTTCCGTCCCTCTTCCCCATCTCTATCTTTCCTTTTTCTCTTTCCTTTGCTAGTACGCATTGGGAGTTAATTGGTTTTGTCAGTTTGATGAACATTCTGTCGTGCAACTAAAAGTTTGTTTTGGTTATTCAGCTAAAGCAAGCATCCTTTTTGCCTGCCCACACTGAAGAAGGCTATGAACTATTACATCTAGCTGTGAATCGGAGTAAATGTCGTTCCGCAGTATTGTTCGGGATGTAAGGGATGGGTTTGGAAGCTTATCAAGAAGGAGCTTCGATGTGAGGTTGCTTGGTCATCACAGAGGAAAATCACAGGGTTCAGTGCATGAGTTGCATGATCAACCACTGGTTGTACAGAACAGCCGGTGGGCCAGTCTCCCACCTGAGCTTCTACATGACGTGATTAGGAGATTAGAAGCGAGCGAGAGCACCTGGCCTGCTCGCAAGCATGTTGTTTCATGTGCGGCTGTTTGCAGGTCTTGGAGAGAAATGTGCAAAGAAATTGTTAAGAGTCCTGAGGTCTCTGGGAAGATCACCTTCCCAGTCTCGCTGAAACAGGTCCGTCACTCTTGAATAATCAGAATTTCAGTTAAGGAGCATGCAATGCTCTGCACTTGCTTCCCATCGTGCTAGAGTATTAATTAACTATCAATTGAGAAGGTGCAGTTGCAACTAAAAGTGTTCAAATGTTTGCTTCTTGCAGCCAGGGCCTCGTGATGGGACAATTCAGTGCTTCATTAAAAGGGACAAATCAAATTTAACCTATCACCTCTTCCTCTGCCTTAGCCCAGGTAAACTTCAGGCTTGACCGTGCAACACTTCGTATGCATGGATATTGTGAAGTAATGTGACCCCATTCCGTTGCGTAACGTTCATTAATGTTGCAAGTGACATGAAGCCTGCTGAATCTCCTATGAATCTCAGAGGATTACTTGTTATAATTGTGACATGTTACCATTATGGATCCCTTTGTTTGTTTAATTTGTTATGCATTTATTGCTTCCTCCATATGTGCTGGTGAAAGCATTGTGCTATTGTTAGGGCTTCAAGCATTTTGCGGGAACTTTCAGATGTTATTATAGCAGCCAACCAGCACTTTCCATTTATCGTTGAGTTCCTTATCTGTTTGCTGGTGTTAGTAGAGCCCCACCAAACTTCTGATTGATAAGAAGATAGCTTGAAGATGTTAACATCTGCTTTCAGATGGTTGCTTGTACAGCTATAATATTTCACTTCTAATTAATCACTATTTAGAATATGGTTATCCAAAAATGATGGTATTAATGCTTTAATTGCTAGAAGATTGTGGTAGTAGTACCAGATGACACATAACTTTATATTACACTTTGATGGCCATAAATTTCTGCTTACTTGGCTGATGTGAGGTTTGCTTTTTGTTTACCAAATATACTGACAATTAAATTTGTTGGACTTGCCTAATATAGATGTTGAGGTTTCTTATGAATGGTTTTTTAGATGTTGCAATTTCTTGTTATACTTGTCTTCCTGCCTGATGCTCCAACTTTGGAGTAATGATCGGTTTATCCTTCTTTCAATGTCCAGCTTTGCTTGTTGAGAATGGAAAATTCCTTCTTTCTGCTAAGCGGACAAGGAGAACAACCTGCACGGAATATGTAATCTCTATGGATGCAGATAATATATCGAGATCAAGTAGTACATATATTGGAAAACTAAGGTGAGAATCTTTTTTCTTATTTCTATTCTTGGCTTCAGTCATACATTTTTATTGCTCGACTGTACTACAGTGAATTTCTGCCGTTGGCCTTATTGAGTTGAAAAGGTGATGATTTGAAAGGGAAATAATCTCTGTTCATTAGTCACGCTCATGGAAGACGTGTCCTATTCCTTTTGCTCCTTTCGCCTCTAAATTGTTCTCTTCTCTTAGCCAGACATAGTATGGGCCTGAGCCTACCCAACTAGCGTTACATTTATAGAAACCAAATTGAATGCCTCTTGTTGCTCTGGCAAACAGATTTCTGTTTTTCATTCGGGTCTTGTTAACGAGTGCTCTCTAGGCACTTGCATGATAATGGGGCTATTGCCTTTGTTATTGCCTTCTACACACTTTCCCCAAGTAATCAGGGTGAAGCATGTGAATAGTAGCTCTAAGATGATACCTTGGGTCGCCAAACCACACCATACTCTAAAGTGATTTTCCTTTCTGACTATAATTCACTCGCGAAAAATAGTTTCATTCTGGAAATTTGTAGCTACTGCCGCTTGAAATCTTCGATCTTTGTGCTATTGCATGAAAGAAAGGAAATGCTTGGGGCAAGATTTTAGATACGTGGTTAGTACGAGTTATATCGATTGCGTAATGTGAGAAAAGTTATTCATACATGCTTCTCTTGTTTCAGGTCAAACTTCTTAGGTACTAAGTTCATAATTTATGACACACAACCTCCGTACAACAACGCACAGTTATCTCCACCAGGGCGTAGCCGTAGATTTTACTCCAAGAAAGTTTCTCCAAAAGTTCCCACAGGTAGCTACAACATTGCTCAGGTCGCATATGAGCTGAACGTGCTGGGCACCAGGGGCCCACGGAGGATGCACTGTGTCATGCATTCGATCCCTGCCCTGGCCCTCGAGCCGGGTGGCACTGTCCCTGGCCAGCCAGAGCTTCTTCCTTGCTCGCTTGAAGACTCATTCCGGAGCATCTCCTTCTCCAAATCAATAGATACGTCCACGGAGTTTAGCAGTTCAAGGTTTTCTGATATCATCGGGCCCCGGGATGAAGAGGACGACGGAAAGGACAGGCCTCTGGTTCTCAAAAACAAGGCTCCGAGATGGCACGAGCAGCTGCAGTGCTGGTGCCTCAACTTCCGTGGAAGGGTGACTGTAGCTTCAGTCAAGAATTTCCAACTGATAGCTTCGAATCAACCATCTACCGGCGCGCCAACACCATCGCAGCCCCCACCGTCCGATCATGACAAGATCATTCTCCAGTTCGGTAAGGTCGGAAAGGACATGTTCACCATGGACTACCGGTACCCTCTATCTGCATTTCAGGCATTCGCCATTTGTCTGAGCAGCTTCGACACCAAATTGGCATGTGAATAGACGGCGAAGGGTGCGAGGGAACGAAGTCTCCTGCGAAAAACGGTTTGTGTAAACAACGATTAACGTCGAGATTAAAGAGTTACGGCCAGGGATTGTGTGCAATCACTGTACAATCCATGATGGTGAACTCTGTTCTTAAGTGCATAAGTTTGCATCCTAGGGAGGGGTCTTCTATTTCTTCCTCATCCTCAATTCCCATCTTCTTTTTTATTCTAATCTTTCCCAGTGTAGTTTCATTCTAAGTGGGTCGGGTTTCATCTGTTCCTTGCTCTGGTATTGTTGTACCTGTAACTGTTCCTTTTAACAAAGGAAGAAAGTGAAGATTGAACTTGGTCTTTTCCGTTTATGGTAGGACGTAACGTAATTGGCTTTTAAATGTCAATATCTATCTATGGTTTTTCTCTAAAAATCAGGAAATAGAGATAAATTATTAAAGTTGTATAATAGTCGTAAATGAATTATAAACGACTATGTGAAAGGGTGGAAATCATGCCAACGGACAAGATGATGGGAGTCTCTATGGACATAAAGTTACGCGAAATTTTTCGGCATATTTACGGCGAATCATTTGGTTTACTTGCAAATCAACGCGGCCGGTGTGGTTGGCCAAGTGTTATGGGGCTTACTTCTAAGCTGCGGTTTGTATTCGAAACCCTCTGGTCGTTTCCCTTGCCTTAGTGCACGTTCAATCGTGCCATGACGTAGAGTAACCCCCGACTATACTCCCACTAGCGCTGTGGTGGGGACGGGCCGGACGGCGATGGCGAGCTCGCTCGAACCGGGCAGTAGTCGTGGTACGAACCGAACATTCCATCGCGTGCAGAAATCTCTTATGACAGCACACTTAAGGAGACCACCAATGCGGATCGCCTGTTTCCGAACTCTTTATATACAAAAGATTTGCTTCACTTGCAAGCTACATGCAAGAGCCATCATCTTTGCTCAGCATAATTTAAATCTAAGTACGTTTTAGCAATTATTCAATGGAAAAAAAATCAAGACCCTCCATGGTGGGTGGTGGGATCCGTGAAAGGCTTTGGGCCCCTAGATCTTGACCCGACCCGACCCGACCCGATCGAGATCTGTGGAGCCCTAATTTGCGCAACATAAAAACCCGATTCCTTCTCGCTCCTGTGCTCTCCATCTGCTTGCCGCAAGCGGCGCGACGAGAACCAAAGCCGATGAGATGATTATCATCGATCGTCGATTTCAACCTCCCTCGTCCTTGAGTTCGTGTATCTTTTCCAGTTCTTGGGGGGAGATTCTAGCGAGGAAAATGCCCCGATGATGTAGAAACTCACAAAGTGTTGAGCGGTTCCGGTGGCTCCTTTCATCTCTGGGCTTCCCCATTCATCGCCGGAAGCATCGGATGCACCCGCGCACGCGCATCCGTACACTCGCACCCACGCTCACTCGCCCGGTGATGTTTGGGAGCCTTCTTGGATGATCGCCCATCGTGGTTTGAACCGCGAATGATACTCGAAGCTATGAGATCTGATGGCCTTTTTCCGGGGTTTTTGCCGTTTACGTTTGTTCTCGCAAGTTATTTGTGATTGATTTTGATGTTTCTGTGGATTTTGAAATCTTTCATGCAGTAATGAAGTCGGGGAGGGTATCTAGGTTTTGATCTTTCCATCGTGTCGTTGCTGGAAGCTGCTTGCATTTTGCTTTTCTTGTTTGATTTTCGTGTCAAGGTACGTTTTTGAATCGGTTCTCTGGGATTGTGTTTGGACTTTGGAGCTTCATCAGTTGCATTCACTTTTAATGAATTGATTTCCCGCTTTTTGTTGGGCTTCCTTTTCCCGGGTCGTGTGTCATCGGAAGTTAGAGAGTTCTCGGCGATTTTCGTGGGAAGGGAGTTTTCGAAGGTGACCAATTTAGTCGGTTTTTTCGCGCACGGGGGGCTTCCCTCTGTTTGTGCATTCTCATGCTCACTCTCTCCCTTCTGCCCTATGATGGAAACTCAGAAATATTGAGTGGTTGCATGGTTACCATTCATTACTAGCCCATCCATTGTCACTACGGATGACCTCTCTCTATGCGTGTGCTTGTTTGTGCTTGTGTGTGTTTGAGTGATTATTGTGTGAGTGAGGGCATCTCGTTAGTGGCAAATTGGATGGGCTTTTGATGAGTGCCATGTGCTTTACACCATGGATGATTGTTTAAAAGCTATGAGATCTGAGGGCTTTTCTTCACAACGTCATTAACGATTCGGGGCCTGATTTGATTTTGACCTGGCCTCTTATTAAGGCGTCAACCGCCGTAACTTGCTCTCTGATGGTGAAATGGTGATTTTTGCATGATGAACTTGCTATTTGGTTCGTCTGGCGTGACAATCCTGCATTTAAAGTCATCTCAAATCCTCTGTTTTTCAACGTAACATTTCTCAGCTTTGCTGGTTAAAATTGTTGCTTGGATCTGCAGTTTTGACCTGATTATCATCGAAGACAATGCCTACAATAAATTGAATTAAATGATGGATGGTATTTAGTTTTTATTCCTAGTCTCTTTCGAAAAAATTGTCCGCCCCATGATTAGAGGATATTCTGTGGCAGTTTCTTTAACGTTCATTGTGAGCCTCCACATCATTGTGGTGGTGGTGGTGGTGGTGGTGTTGCTGCTGCTGTTGTGGCTGATCTTTATATTTTCATAGGATGTGGACAGGCTTGCGGTGAAAGTTATATGCAAACTGCCAGTAGTACTTATGGAAATATGAGGGCTGATTGGAGTTCTGGTCTTATGTCTAAACTTTTACTCTGCTGATACATTACAGTTTCTCGGATTGCATACTGACAGTACAGTGATGTGGAACTTGAGCTTTTTCCCAAATTCGACAAGTTTTAATAATAAAAAATACTTCATTTTCGTCCAAGACGACTTTGCAAAAGAATTTTCACTTTCTTTGCTTAATGTGATTGTACTTCTTAAGAAACACGAGGGAGGTGGAAACAAACAAGAGAATTTGATTCATTGTAGATGCCTGCATGCTTTGAATGCGTGAACGTCCTATGAAATGTTGACAATTTCATGAGTAATGTAACATGACATTTCATGAGGACACCTAGCTTGCTTGTGTTTCTTGCTGTTGCATGTTAGCAGTCCTTCCCTGATGCTGGTGTCCATTCATTTTCTTGAAATTTGATATCGTGAATCATGCATTTTTTTGTTTCCTAGTTGGGAGCTTGAAAAGAACTGCAGAAATGACAGACTGATATGAGATCAAGAGGGAAATTGGATTTGTTGGTTCATGAGAAAGTAGGGAACCGACTGAACTTTGGCGTCTCCTGGACTGATCAAGTTAGATGAGAAATGAGAGGCTAAGAGCTTACTTTGGTAGGGTTTGTATCTGTTGTTGATTCCTATGGAACTTGTAGTGATTTGCATGATGTAGCTGCTGCTAATACTTCCTTGTACCGTGTTAAACTTTGGTTAGAGCTTGTAATGTGTCATATTAATGAATTCCCAACTTTACGGAGGAAAAACGGATATGTCAATGTTTCATCTATTGCAGCTTTTCTTTTCGTTTTTTATATCATTTGGAGCATTGGGTATCAGCTGACAATCGACTAAACTCCTCTCACGGTGTGTCCCGACAATGTTGGTATGATTGTGTACCAAACAGAGAGGCTTTAGATAGATTCAAGATAGAATTGAAAGAATCCAATGTACGGATATTTTGAGGTGACAAAACCATATCTCTTGAATGCTTAGGACATTAACCTTTCGGGGATAAAACAAACCCTTTGATACTTTTTCACAACTGGAATATCTCTAGCTTGCTCCTGGAGACAGAACAAATCCCTAACCTTGTTGTACAGCGAGGGACGTGTGAAAAGAACCGAACTGCGTTGTATTCCCACGTTGCTTGGGAAATCTGCCCAGCACCACAACTGGCTACTGGTGGCCTTTGACTAAAGAACAACATATGGGCGTGCGTACCTTTCGTGGCTATGTGATGTTGAATGCTGGTTTCTGTCCGATGCATAGCGATGTTTCATTTGGGCTCGTGCACAAAGCAGCTGTGTGGGTGATAGTGCACCGGTGATTCAGCAAGCAAGAGCATCATACGCGATTTCTTATTTCACATTGGACAGCAGAGAAGAAAAAGGGAACGCGAAGGAAGGAGAAATCCGAATCTGGATAGTGATCCGTCATTAGCAGTTTAGACGAAGGCAGTGTTTTCGAGGCGCCGGAGTCTTTAAATAGCTTGACGGTAAGAGATCACCCCTTCAAACCACGTGAGTTGCAATGTCAATATTGCCTCCATATTTCTTTAGCTATCTCGACAAGGACCGGAGGAAGAAGCCATTGTCTGATTTATTATGAATTGGCATCTTCAAAGAAAGCAGAGTGAGTTCGACGGCTGAACTTGTGGTGCAACTTTTTGGATTTCTCCTTTCCCTTGATAATACATTGTTAGGAAAACGACGCTCATTGAGCCATCAAGCCATTGAAAATGCATTAGATCGATATCTTAATCGTTATAAAAAGTCCGTTCCGCTTCAAATTTTTCAATTGAGATAGTGCCGTCTTACGCATTTCGCGCACGTCGCGATCACATCCAGAGGAAAAGAAGGATTCGCACGTGCTGTATGCTGTATGCCCGCCCTCGCTACTTCCTTTGATGTCGGAGACGGAATCGATGCGTTCCGTCGGTTGAATTGCCATGGTGCGCATTTTCCACACCAGAACTAACACAATTCGAGCACGGAAAGTCAATCTGGACTTTGGATTTTACCCTTCTCGTTCTCTTCTGAAGTCAAACACTGACAAAACTTCTCCTCATTTCTCTTCCCCTGGAAGTAAAGGCCGAGCCTGCCTTTCTTTATCAAGTGGGGTTTCTCTGTATCTTGATTCTCGGACGCCGGTCCAAAACGAACCGGTAAAAACCCAACAAAAAATGGCCGGCCAAGATGTTGACTCTGAACGGGTCAAACCAGCTCAGGACAGGAGAAGAAGAGAACAACGAACGAAACGAGCATATCGCCCCTCCTCCTCCTCCTCCGCCTTCTAGAAAAAAGAAAACCGAAAGCATTCGAAGCAAATGAGCATCGCCGCCGCCGCCGCCGCCGCCGCCGTCGCCGCCGTCCATTGGTCCGCCACGACTCGGTCGCGCCGCCCGTGACCCTGCGGGGGTGACCTCACCTTCCCGGATTCCCGCACGGGCTCGTCCGACGTGGCGGGCGGCCGGTGCCTCCACGTCACCACCCGGGCGGCTCTCCTGGTCCTGACCGAGCTCGCTGTACAGAGAGAGAGAGAGAGAGGGGGGGTAGACATCGACGGTCAGCGACATCGCGATCCAACGGCTGAGATGCGGCGTCGATCGAGATTCTCCGGGATCTGCTGCGGTTACCGTGCATCGAATATTTCGGAAATAAACAAAATGCGGAATGGATTATCACGGGATCATTTTTGTTTTTAATCATTATCATTATTACCAGAAGAAAGAGAAATAACGGAAAGCCTTTCGGGGACAGTGCCTTGCCGTACGCTGCCGAATGATGGATATCTGTCCGAATTTCCATCTTTTATCAGCCTAAAATTAACATCATCGTCACCATCATTCTCTCTCCTCTCTCCTCTCTCTGCGTAAAGGTTGAATCTTTCCTCTTTCAAGCAATTGGGTCTCTCTCTCTTTCTCTCTCTCTCTCTCTGTCTGAGCTCCTGCCGTTCGCCCTAATCCGGGACGAGCACACCTGATCGCGGCGGAGGCGCCGGCGGCGGCTCGATTCGTCCGCGACATCGACGCTTCCTTCTCCGGGGGAATCGCGTCCGGTTCGATTTGATGCGGTTTTCTAAGCCTTCCATGTGAGAGAGAGAATGCACACGCCGGACTACCAGGGCTCCCACGTCGGCCGCTCCATCCTCAGCCTACGCCGCGACCAGGCCGCCGCCGACGCCGCCGCCATGGATCCCCACCACCGCGACGCCGCCTCCGCCGCCCAGGAGCTCGAGCTCGAGCTCGAGGCCTTCCAGAGGCAGGTCGCCGATCGCTTGCTCGACCTCTCCTCCGCCTCCGCGGACGACCTGCTCTCCCTCGCCTGGGTCCGGAAGCTCCTCGACGCCTTCCTCTGCTGCCAGGAGGAGTTCGGGGTCATCCTCCTCAACAACAACAGGGCGAATGTCGCGAGATCGCCGGCCGCGGAGCGCCTGCTGGCCGAGTTCCACGAGAGGAGCGTGAAGGCGCTCGACGTCTGCAATGCCGTGAGGGACGGGATTGAGCAGATCAGGCAGTGGCATAAGCTCCTGGAGATCGTGATGTGCGCTTTGGGGAATCGGAGGAGCTTGGGGGAGGGCCAGTTCCGCCGCGCGAAGAAGGCCCTGATCGATCTGGCCATCGCGATGCTCGACGAGAAGGACTCCAGCACGGCGATTGGGCATAGGAATCGGTCCTTCGGCCGGAGCAATGCTTCGAGGGATCCCCGGTCTATCGGCCATTTCCGATCCCTCTCCTGGAGTGTCTCCCGGTCCTGGTCTGCGGCGAAGCAGATTCTGGCGATTGGGAACAATTTGAATGCTCCCAGAGGGAACGAGATCGCGGCCACGAACGGGCTCGCCGTTCCCATCTTCACGATGGGTATGGTTCTGTTGTTTGTAATGTGGGCTCTCGTGGCCGCCATTCCATGCCAGGATCGCGGTTTGCAGGTCCATTTCTCTGTCCCGAGGCAGTTCGTTTGGGCTGCTCCGATAATTTCACTCCACGATAGGATTATGGAAGAATCGAAGAAGCGGGAGAGAAAGAATGCTTGTGGTTTGATGAGGGAGATTTATCAAATTGAGAAGTACTCGAGGGTGATGAGTGAGATGGTGGATTCTGTTAATTTCCCATTGACGGAAGAGAAAGAAGGCGAGGTGAGACAAAGAGTGCAGGAATTGGGGCAGGTGTTTGAGGTGGTGAATGAGGGGTTGGATCCTTTGGAACGCCAAGTGAGAGAGGTGTTTCACCGGATTGTGAGGAGCCGAACCGACGGAGGTTCCTGCAGCTCTACTTGAAGTTCTTCACAAATGGGTTCTTGTAATTTGCTGCTGGGAAGGATTTGCCTTAACAGATTCATCAAGTTTAAGGAAGAGGAAGAAATGGAGAGAACAGAGTATAACCAGGATCATGTACAAAATGGGACGAAAAAAAGGTATAAGGAGGCTATTTGTATTAATCAATGGATATATTTGTGTCAGTAGAACGATTTAGGATTTGAAAATGGTGCCCTTAGGTTCCATTTGCCGCTCTTCAGCTTCTGTTGGATTATTGAATCAAATTTCCTTAATATATTGCATTCCCATGAGCTGTGTCTGGTTCTCCCGTTCCAGTTTCGTGATGTGCTGGAGTACATATTACATGCTATTTGGCTGTTGGATGTTCAATCCATTTCTGGGTTGCAGCGCAGTGGCCAGTAATGTTGAGTGTAACAGATTGGTCTTATCTTTTCGGAATGACTTCGAAATGAGAGCATACGTGAAGATGTTTCCATCCGTGTGATTTCGAGCTTCTAATTCCGCGGATACTCTATGTCGGATGAGTTTTATATGTTAATATTCGGGCTGTAAGTGGTCATTTATCATTTGGAGGTAACTGACCCTGTTGCTTCTTGAATCTTTATCCGTTCGATAGCACTTAACCCTGTGAGCCATTTCCAGGTGCTGACTGTTAGTATAGGTACAGCTTCCTGCTGTAAAGTGGCATGGCATCATCTGCAACTCCAGCATCAGTATAGTTTGCATATTCTCTTTTTTTTAGGGTACTCGATAAGGTCGTTCTTCATTTTATTTATTTTTCCTCATTACGAATTTCTTGATGCACATATAGCAAATTGTAAATGTCATTCTTCTATGTTTGAAAACAGTCTGGCCGATTTCGTGACTTTTGCAATAAGATAGGCAGTTTTCAGTTTTCTGTGCTACTGAGTTCAATAAACTCTGCCGTTTTTCTTGCTTTTGTTTGGAATCTGACTCTTTGATTATTAAATGTTTGGATTAAATGGAGTCAAGGGTCACGAATGTAGAGGGCAGTAGAAAATTGTTTGTATGTCATTTCCGTCGGCGAAAGGAATTGATTGGTCAGAAAAATGGGATTCTAGAAGATAGGTTTCTTCTTTCCAGTCAGCCCAGTTGAAATCAAATAGATACATCTTTAGGAGAATCAATGCAATCAATGAAGCAAAATCAAGAATGAGGTTAAAGTGTAGTCCTAGGTCACAAGCCTGTCAAAGACAATTGCTTGTGGAAAAATGAGGCGCCCTTTGGTGGAAATGTCTCCATCGGCATTTTTAGTGCACTTGTAAAAGGAGATAATTGATTAAGGGTGTTTCTTCGGTGCCGTGATGGTTTGCCTGCACGACAACCCGTGACTGTCTGATAAAAAAACGTAATTTCGATTATTTGATGATGAAGCAGCCCCATTTGGATGGCAGATTTGTCGTGCAAAACAACACGGCACCACAGAAGAAGCGCAGGATTAATATAGTTTCTAGATTAGTGAGTTACAGAGAATCATGCGTAAATCTTAGAACTCAACTACAATATGAAAGATTGGATCGATGTTCATGTTTCACAGGCTGTCTCCCTGTTACCCGGACGGAGGTTGATCATTTATGTGGTGATCTGCAGAGTCACTCTTGAACATTACTTGAAGAAGGCCAATTATGTCAAGCTTTACTGGCAATATTCAAATGCCTTTCTGCAACTTGAGATTACTGGCTAATAAGTATGACACTTTCATTTTCCACTTTTTATGTATGAAGAGCCAGCATGCAAGTTTCATCAGATGCAGATTATTTACCTCAGGTGTTCTTTTTAAAAGCTTCAGTGTTTCGAGATGTAATCTCCGAAAGTGATCTCAAGGTCGGGGCCTTCCCATTGTGATTCAGTCACAAGCTAGGGAAAAGTGTCAAAAAAGTCATAAATCTTTTGCATTGGTGTCAATTTAGTCCTAAACCTATTTTTGGTACCAATTTAGTCATAAACTTTTTGCATTTGTGCCAATTTAGTCCTAAACCTTTTTTTGATGTCAATTCAATTATAAACCTTTTGCATTTATGCCAATTCAGTCCTAAACCTTTTTTTCTTTGTGCCAATTCCATCATTCTGGACAATTTTGGCAGGATTTTGTTGACATGGACGCCGGCCATCGGCGCTGACGTGGATAATTTTTAATAATATTTTTTTGAATTTTTATTTATTTTTTTTTCCTTCCCTCCTTCCTCCAGTCGAACCGGCAACCGGCCAGAGGCCGGCGAAGGCGAGCATCGCCGGCCACTGGCGAGGCTCGCCCTAGCAAGCGACGGTGAAGGCGAGCCTTGCCATGGCTAGGCGAGGCACGACCTCATCGGATATGGCGAGGTCGTGCCTCGCCCAGTGGCCGGCAAGGCTGCACCTCGCCAAATCCGGCGAGGGAGCCTCATCGGTGGCTGGGCGAGGCCCGAACTCGCCGGATCTAGCGAGGTCGAGCCTCGCCGGTCGCTGGGCGAGGGCGAGGCTCGCCATATCTGGTGAGGTCCAGCGTTGCCCAGCCATGGCGAGGCTCGCCTTTGCCGTCGCTGGTGAGGGCGAGCCTCGCCAGTGGCCGACGAGGTTGTGCCAGTGGCCGGTGAAGACCTCGTCGGTCCGGCGACCCGCTAGAGGAAGGAGGGTGGAGGGAAAAAAAAGAAATAAGAATTCAAAAAATATGAAAATATTATTAAAAGTTGTCCATGTCAAGACCATGATCACCACCCTACCGTGTGTCCACGTCAAAAAATCGAAGCCAAAATTGATAGGAATGACTGAATTGACACAAAGACAAAAATATTTAGGACTGAATTGGCACAAATACAAAAGGTTTAGGACTGAATTAGCACCAAAAAAAGGTTTAAGACTAAATTGGCACCAATGCGAAAGGTTTAGGACTGAATTGGCGCTAAAAAAAGGTTTAGGATTAAATTGGCACAAATGTAAAAGATTTAAGACTTTTTTGACACTTTTCCCGTCACAAGCTATGTGACCTAAGATTAGAGGAACATAGTATTGGGAAGCACTCGATAGGAAATTCTCATTTTCAAATCCAACGTTGTAATATTGTTGATGCTGATGCTAATGTTTCTAGTGCTCTTGATATGACCGGTGGTCTATCGGGGAGAGGATCACTAGTAGTGCCTAAAGTTTGATCTTGTTGCAGTCGGGTCCTCCTCAATCTGAATTTCGAAGTTTGTACTCGTTGAACTTTCACTTCTTGTGCAATTATGGCCCTCAACCTGAACTTTCACTTCTTGTGCAATTATGGCCCTCAACCTGCATTTGCATCGAACCTCTATCAGAATTTTCATACCTTATGGATCACATATGCAAATTTTCGAGTGTCGGTTTATGTAAAACCGACTTTCCCAGTATCAAATTACTCAGTCTCTTGCGTCTCCTCTATTTTCCATGCAATGCAATGTATTCTCGTGGCAATGCGACTTGCCGATCATTCTCTTTTTGGGGGGCCAACCAAGTCGTCGCCGTTGCAATAAGGTGCTTCACCAAACGCTATCAGAACCAATGACATTGTCAGTGTTACATGGTGTTAAGGCATGGGTGTTGGGTGGGATGTGAACATCTTGGATAGATGCCCATTTGCAAGTTCTGGGGGTCCTCTTTCTTTCTTCCCCGTTGAAAAGTTAAATGATTTTTGTCAAAGCTATTACTACATATTCAGGTGGCCCCCTTTGTTACAGTACATTATTAGCTGTGTGTGACTGGATGAATCCCTTCGCTTTGGTATCGCTTGGGAGATTCTTCGTCGACATTGTGTGTTGGCACAGCAGGACATACGAAAAAGATGTTCCGGTGCCTGACCTGCGTATTTAATGGTCCAGAGCGATTCTCTCTTCGATTCGTCAATGCTCTGAAGTTTGAAGGTTTTCCCACGTTTACGAAGGTTTCAGGCATGGACTTGCCCTTTTTTCTCTGGGCGAGCGGCGGTTGGAACATCATGTTGGCATTAATTGTGTGAGACTACGTATTGTAAGTGAGAAAAGCGTTTACATGGGCATGATCGCACGCACAGGCAAGTGCATGTGGCTGCGCGAGTACTACCTATTCCCTGCTTATGTGCATACATGCCTTGTGTCTATAATAATAGGCTGCAATCTTTAAATTTAGAAAGCTTCTGTGGCACTGATGAAGCTATGGTTATGCAGACACCAACTGAGGAAAAGGAGACTTTGCATTTAATAGTATTTCTGGGTTAGCTGAGAAGACAAATTGACTTTGATTCTTTCCTATACCAGATCTATTTCTGTATTACCTTTTGTGTTGAGGGACAGCAGATGCTCGTAGTTGAAGTAGATAAAATTTTCGGTTAAAAATCTGGAACATAGTCGTCCCAAAAACTGAAAGTGCTTAATTTTCTTTTTGGGGGGATTTACATTTACAAGATAAGATTAGATTAACTTAATCCTATGAATGAGCACAAGATGGGTCTATTTATAACCTTAGAAAACACTCAACAACCTTAATTAATGGCACTGACTGTCTAGATAGCTCATGTTTCATTGACACACATACTAACAATCACTGTCGTAACATTAATTTTCTAACGCTAATATGTTTTCTCAGAATCGATTGACTTTTTCGATGAAAAATGACATACTTCAATCGTCTATAAAGGTGAAGGCCAAGAGAAACGGAAGGCGGGAAATTCAATTCCTCTCGCTGCACATTAGCTAACCTGTGCTCTGGTTGATGAATCTGAGGATTACTTGGAAATTTTGAGAGTAACAGTAAGCACTGAATGGATCAAGTAGTGGTTATTGAGAGCCTTTAAGTATGACCGAGCTTGAGAAGGATTTCATGAAAGTGCTTCAGATGCATTATCTCCAAGGGCTTCTTGAAGGTTCATCAACGATCTGTACGCACTCGAATCATCATGATCTGTTGATGGTTGCTAACTTGTCCAATGGCCTCAAACTGCAGTCTCAAAAGGCAAGAACATATGGAACACTTACTTTACTTGGTCAGATGCTGAGCTATGGTAACTCTCTTTTTTGCAAATATTGCTGGTGGATATGAATGGGAAATCGATATCATAGAAATGAGGAATTGGAATCTTCAACAGTTTTCTAGCGCAGCTCTGAAGTCCTTTATCTCTCTAATCACTCAGCAATTTATTCATTTGGACAAACAAAAGAACCAGTGGTTTGATTGCAAGGAACCTCCATGTAACCTTTGTCGAATCAGTTCCATCTTACTTTCTCCTAGTAATTTCGACCGGCTTTCATCAAAGTCTATACAAATTTAACAAGCCTCGGCAACCATCCCGAATTCTTTATTTCCTAGAGCAATCATTGATATTGTTTGCGAGAAATCAGATTTAGCAGGCAGAGCATGCAGATTTAGGCGGTGGTCTGGTGTTCCCCTTTTACAATATATGTAAGAAAATAGAGATGCTTTTACAAGTTTAACCAAGAGGTACTCGCTCATGAATTGCAAACTGAAACTGAGATACTCCAGAGGAAAAATGCAAATATTCCACTTCTTTCATACGATTTTAGACAGTTGCGCATGCTCTTACACAGTCTCTTATAGAAGAATCAGATCGAAGAGAGAAGCATGAATATAGAAGAGAGAAGCATGAACTATCCATCAGTCCATTCTTTGAAGTACTCGACCAAGTATTGTAGACATGGACATATTTTCTATTTCATCTTGCTACCTTATTGCGGTATCTGGTATGGTAGTTACATGAAACAGTTTTATGCATTTGCCAACTCTGGTCAGTGGCATGAACTACTTCCTGCATTAGTTTCAATAATCAAATAATCAGATGAAAGATTTATAGAGGCTTATAATTATTCATCTCTTGGACCTAATCAAGTGAATAGCAAGAACTATAAGAGAGACTAGTAATGCAGACCCAGCAACAACAGGAGCACATATCTTCTTGCTTTTCTTTGGCTTGCTCTTCACTGAGGCCGTGTTTTCACTGACATCTCTATGTTTGTCATCCTTGGGAGATTCGCTCTGAACCTCATTCCCTATGTCACTCGTTTCCTCTTGCCTAAGACTGTCTCCTTCTTTGAGTTCAGCATCAAGAGATGCAATCACCTTCCCCGGTTGTTGATTATCTTCAGATTTTGTTAACTGAGCCCCCATTTCAGTTTCCTCCTTTTGCAATGGTCTTGGCACTGGACCTTCGGCGGGAAGTCGTTGACTTGCCGATGATGTATGCGGTAACTCGGATTCTCGAGCCGCTCCTTCTGCTTCTTCTTTTGTTTGTTGCTCAACTTCATCACGTGGATACTCAATCTGAGGCTCTTCAATAACTCCAGGTACCTCTTTACAGTCCGTCTTTGTCATATGACCTCGATCATCCTCTGGTTCCTCCACTTCCTCAATTGCATGCCCGGAAACTCCCTGAACCATTTTGGGCATGAAAACCGTGAGAATTGCTCCGTCTTCATCGAATTTTGCCTTGATCTTGTCCAAGACCACGCCTCCTGGAATTTTAAAAGCCTTCTTAAACCCTCTCAGTTCCACCTCCTTTTTGTACAAAATCCACCCGAGCATCACCTTCTCCTGCACAGCCTTATTTCCAATGATCGTTATGCGAGTTCCGTCTTCATTTATGTTTATGTCAATGTGCTCTCTTCTGTATCCTGCAAAAATTTAGATTAAATCTTCCATCTAGTAAATCACGAGAAACGAGATCAGCGGACAAAAAAATAAGATCAAATGCCTAATAAAAGATGATTGAAAGGACACGCCTGAAGAAAGAACCTCTGAGATGGGCAGTGAGGATGAACATGTTTTCGGTTTCTCTAGACAAGAAAACAATTCCGCCTCCATCCTTTGCAATGCGAAGATCGGCCGTGGAGCTGATATCATCTTGAGTTTGTGTGATCTTGAGTCCTAATTCTAGCTCCATCAATTTGTTTCTCAGAATGCTTAGATCGGTCTCAAAGAATATAGACAACAGGGCCAGGGGCATCTTGAAGAAGGAAGCATCACAAGCATTGTTGTTGCAAGGACCGGACCTATTCGTTGCTTCTTGATAAGACTTTCAGGGATCCAGGCAAAGAACCTTTGATTTGATTTTTTGTGGCATTCACACTCCATTTCTTTGTACACAAGCATTAGCTTTCTGTCCAGCGACAGACACGAGATGGGGCCGTGTCAGAAAAGCTAGACTTCCAAAATAGAGAGCAAAATCGGGGGTTGTCTTCACAGACTACATTCAAATCTTTACATAACTTTCATATAATCAAATTCGAATCTACCGTATTAAATTTTTTACAACTGTCTCTACAGAACAAATAGAACTGCCAATTGGGGAAGCAACTCATGAAAATCTAGTACTTCTTATCTAAACTCTAATGCCCACTACTTTGATATTTTCTTGCAGACTGCATGTGGCCACTCTCTCTCGCTCTCTCTCATGTTATTCTACTTTTGTCATGGAGAAAATCCCTTCTCTTTGATGAGCAAAGCAACTGCCAATGCCACTGCCACAACAATCAATCTGAAGATAATCATATGGATGCTTCATTTCCACCCTTCCCACGGCAGAGAAGGTTGAATCTCCCATCTCGCACTTTTAAGCATGATGTTTTTTACCACTGCAATGATTGAACTCTCCTCAAAACCCGAGCTGTTTTTGGCTTCTCCACAATGGGAACCACTTTCTCCATGAGCTGCAAGGATGGATGATGTTAAATAGAAAACCTACTCATAGCAAATAAAGGAGCCAATTTAGAAAAAAAAAACTTGGCATAGTGAATCGGTACGATATGTTTAATGGCAAAAAAAAAAAGGGAATCAGTACAAATATATTTGATGAAAATGTGTCTGACTCAGAATAGATATGATCCTAAGGTCAGGTAAACTACAGAGAAAGGCCAAACATAAGCAACTGTCCTGCGCCTACATCATGTTTCTGTTTCAATATCAGGGCAAAGAAAGAAACTCTCTTTTGTTATAATCAGCTCGAAAGACTCAGAAAGCTACCAAGAGTATACAGAGCCTAGCATGACTCTTGTTCATACCAAACTAGTGCATCGGTTATTCAAATGAAAACTGTTTTGCATTGGAACTCCAAAGCAGAACAACCCCAATGCTCATAAATGGGAAAAACAATTTTCAGAGAGAAACGGAACAACTGTCAGGCATAGCAGCTATTGCTCATTTTGTTATGCATTTTTTCGCAAACAAATCTTTCACCAAAAACCGATCCACATTGCTCTCCACGCAAATCCTATACAACACTGTCGTGTAAGGGGAAAACTACTTTTAAAATGGAAAAGGATCATCTCAATAACATTAAAGAGAAGAGAAGAATGTGCTATCCCTTGCAAGAACTTCGGCTGAGTAAAGATGACAAAGTCTTAAGTCGGTAACCAAATCTACTTCACCACTTACATTTCTCCAAATAAGTCAGGATCAAGTTAATCTCTAGCATGGGTTAACACGAGAGTGCAATAGAGAGAAGGATTCCAATATTAAATACCGAAGGCAAACTTCAAGCAATGGCAAGAAAAATAGATAAAAATCGCACCTGCCTGAACCTCTCTTTAGTCCTCTCAGCCTGCAGGTAAAAGAAAATTTCTGTTATAAGTGCAATTACACAGAGTTAAAAATGGAGAGATAGGCAAATTTCTTTCTCAAGGGGAGAAAGGGGGTTGGTGGGGCCGACATAAGAAGGCCGAGAGATACAATGCATGCAATATGTATTACTGTAACTACATATATTATTGTATGCATGGACATATAAACAAAAACATGCATTTGTCTTGACAAGTCACCTCCCCTTTCCACAATTCTGTCTTTTGTAGTCCATAACAACCCGTTTATAGATGCCTCGTTTATCCAAGAAGGAAGACCAAGAACGTTTTCGAGATTAGCAAGACTTACGAATCAAAAAAGACTCGACGAAGTAATCTCAGCAAACAAAATCCTTAAAAGACTTATGTTCCATATTCAGTTTACTGAAATAGGGGAAGAACTATTACATCCTAGAGAAAATTATATAGAGACATCAAATAACATTCTAAAAAACTTTAAGATAACTCTTTGTTACGAGATATTCAATCATTCTGGACCAATGCACATCATCATCATTCTCAAAAGAAAATAGCAGGGCTCGTAGATGAGCGTACCTTCTCTTTCAATAGCTGCGCATTCTCTTCTTCTAGTCGCACAGCCAAGGACTCCAGTTCCACTTGGTACGCCTGTAAAAGAGAAATGCATACCAGAGAAGAACGAACAAGTAAGAAACGAAACCCCAGCCTCAATGCACAAGCAAAAGCTCAAAGCTCAAAGCTCAAAGCCAAAGCCAAAGCCATCACCTGCTTCCTCTCCCTAGACCTCGCCGCGGACTCTCTGTTCTTGATCATCCTCCTCTGCCTCTGCTGCGCCGCCTTATCCAACGGCTCCAGCACGCACGCCCCTCTCTTCCCTCTCCCTACCCCGATCAACTCCACCCCATTACCAAACCCCACGATGGACCCTTCCACCGTCTCTATCGTGCTGGGCCCCATCGCGTCGAACGCGAACGCCCCGCTGCCCATGCTGCCCATCCTCTCGGCGGGGGGCACCTTCACCTTCACCTCCACATCCTCCTCCTCCTCCACCTCCTCCCCCTCCTCCTCCTCCTCCTCCTCCTCCACCCCGACGGAAGCGCCCGCCCTGACCAGGAAATCCTCCAGAGTCATCATCTCGTCCGGGACTTCCTCCTTGCACTCCCTCCTCTGCCCGGCGACGATCTCCCGCCACACGTCGTCAACGGTCCTGGGGGGCGCCGCCGCCGCCGCCGCCGCGGGGGCGTCGAGGAGGGTCGACTCGGAGGAGGGAGTAGCGGAGGAGGAGGGGGCGGAGGCGCTGCGGGCGGCCATGGCGGAGCCGCCGCCGCCGCCGTCGACGGCGGTCAACAAATCGGCGGAGGAGAGAGAGAGGGGACGGGACGGATCGGGTTCTCTGGACTTGGAAGACGCCATCATCGCCGCCGCCGCAGCAGCCTACGACGGCATTTTTTTTTCCCTCGATGGCGGAGCAGCTTCCGCTGTTCTCGAGGGGGGTTTTAGGGTTCTGCAGTGGTGGTGGTGGTTGGGGGAGGATCTCTCTGGGGGATGGTAGCGTGTTTTGTTCTTTGATGGTGTTGGGATCGGAGAAGGAGAAAGACGAAAGGTGAAAGGTGGGAGGGCGTGCAACAACTTGCAAAAGGCAGGGGAGGAAAAGTGGGGGTAGTTGCCGGCCGCCACGCTGCTCCCCTCCAATGCGGCAGTACTGTCGTGCCACTGCCACCCTCCTCGTCCGGCGATTGGCCTACGTAAAGCAGAACCGACGGCTTCAAAAAAATGCAAAATTAACAAGTACGGTTTTTTTTTTTTTTTGGACGAACTCTCACACGCCCTCAGATTTTTATGAGAGTCAAAACCCACATCTGAAACTACACGTGATTCGAATTCTCCACCTCTCCCTTTCCAAGTAGAAAGGGTGGCCACTGGGGCAAACTCCAGTAATTAACAAGTACTTGAAATTCGACCGTTTTATTTAAAAATAAATTTCTTGGAGTGAATATTATCTCAAATAATGATTTGAAGTCATATCGAGTTGAATTCGCCGGTCGCCCAAATATTCGACCGTTGTTTTAATGGCGGATTTGAGGGGGAGGGGGGGCAATTTTGTTCAAAATTTGCAACGGGGGTTAAAAAATGAGTATAAAATCCTAAGAACCACCAACCCCAAATTGAATTTCGAGTTCTTTCTCGATTCCTCTGCTCTTTATGAAGAACCAGCACCCTCGATTCTCGATCCTCAGTCGATTCTTTCCCGGGTCTCCCCTTTTTTATCGGGTCCGCCGGTCTTGGCTCGATGGTCGGACTGAGGTCAGCTCCACAACTTTCGATCTCCGCGATCCTCGATTCTCTGTCGATTCCTCCTCTCTCGCTGCTTTAAAATCTGTCGTCGCGAGCTTCATCCTCACTTCAAAAGGGCATCCATTCCATCTAAATTTCAGCGTCCCCTAATTTCCTTCGTTGCGATCCAAGTTAGTCTCTTAAATTGCCGCTACTGACCTTTCTTACTCACCTATGTAAACTCGACATTAACACGACCTCATTAAAAATCCCATCCTCTAAGAAAAAAATTATGTCTTATGAAATTGTTGACATTTTGGAAAGTAATATGTGCATTAAAAGTCTTAAAACTTGTTGTAAAAGTGCAATTGAGTGGTAAAACTTTTCAAATTGATTTAATTGAGTCATTTCGTTAATTCCGTCTAACTTGGCTAACAGAAAATGTCGACGCAGCTTTTTTTTTTAAATTATTTTTTCTATCCTACGTGGCGATAGCGTGGCTAAATCATGAAACATAATGCTAAAAACGACGTCGTTTTACCCAAATCTGATATAAAATTTATTTGAATTCAATTTTAAACAAATAAGTTATGTTAAAAAAGAAAGGGAAGGGAGACAGGGGGTGAGGGCTACAGCCCTCGCCGTCGCCGTCGCCGTCCCACCCTTGCCAACTATAGGAGAGGGTGGTTGGCCCTCGCGCAGACCTGGCCGAGGGTCACCCGTGGCGGCCGACCACCACGCCATAGCGGCCCATGACTGAACCAGACTAGACATATAAAGTCAGCGTTCCAGTAGCTTGGACAGTGCATTTCTCAATTTAGGAATTAGCATATTCGCCGGAGATTTCATATGGTTAAGTCATGGTCTTCGACCGCCTCGAGTCCCCATGAACGAATGTCCAACCTGGATTTAGGATTTGCCAGCTCAGCACCTGCTGTCCTGGCCTACAATATTCCAATCCCATTCGCGCGAACTTATTTTAATATTCCCCCAGTCTTAATATTTTATTCGCGATAAATTATTTCACGTGGTCAAGCCACGGGATTCATTTTTAATGGGAAAGTCGATTAATAGTCTTCTTTTTTATTTTTCAAAAAGATCAAATATAAATTAGGTCCCTATTATCCACCCGACTTATCGAGGAACTAATTAATCTCTTCTCGGAGAAGTTTTCCCGTGTGTCGGAGAATCACGGACCCAAAGCAGGAAGTCGCGATTTCATCGAATTACTTTTTGAGCTAATACCACGAATAATGCCAAACTGGTTTGCTGGTTAAAAATTTACCCAAAAAACCCAAAAAATTAGTACATTTGTAACTAATTTACCCTATGTTAGTTTCCGTTAAATTGGATTGATATCACGAAAAATCACAAACCGATACACCTGGGATAAACGGAGGGTTAATAAAAATAGTTTTAGTTCCTGGGGGCCATAAAAAGAAAAAAAAAATATTATTAATAAAAATTATTTTACCTGGTCTATGACGGTGATTAGGCCATGGCAAAAAAAAAAAATATATATTTTAATAAAATTTTTAATAAAAATATTATTAATAAAAAGATTTACCTCACTACCAAAAATAAAAATATATATTTTAATAAAAATATTTTACGGCCATTACGAGAATGGCAAAAAGAAAAATATATTTTTAATAAAAATATTTTAATAAAAATATATTTTACCTATCCATGGCTAACGAACTGTGTCATGGCCATAAAAAATAAAAATATATATTTTTAATAAAAAAATTATTTTACCCGCAAAAATATTTTAATAGTATTTTACGGCCATGTACATGGCTAAAAAAAAAAATATATATTTTTAATAAAAATATTTTAATAAAAATATTATTAATAAAAAAATATTTTACCTCGGTCATGGCCAAAAAAAAATAAAAATATATATTTTTAATAAAAAAATTATTTTATTTTACGGTCATGCCACTGGCCGAACGATCTTTTAATAAAAATATTATTAATAAAAAAATATTTTAATCCATGGCAAAAAAAAAAAAATATATTTTTAATAAAAATATTTTAATAAAAAATATATTTTACCATCCATGGCCTTAATTTTGGTAACCAAACGCCATGGAATCAATTCCAAACAAAATAAAAATATATATTTTTAATAAAAATATTTTTGTTTAATAAAAAAAATATTTTAATAAACATATTTTACCGGCCATAATGAAAAATCTACTGTTTATCATAAGCCATGGCCCAAAAATAAATTAATTCGTATATTTTTAATTGAGATTTCTCGCGATAATTTTACTTTCTTGAAAAAAAAAAAGAATCTTTACCGACAATAGAAAACAATTTCGAGAGACAAATCAAGAAATTCAGGAAAAGAAATCAAGGCGGGGGGGGGCAGTCCCTCCCTCCCTCCCCCCAATCAGTAATCGGATTTCTCGTGAACTTGGCGCTCTCTGATTGATTGATTCGAGTTTGGGACTTCCCAACATCATGCGTCGCGTCGGGTCCCGCTCGTCTCTTTTTTTTTTTAATGCAAAAAAAAAGCTTTCCAGCTTTGGGCAGAAATCTGGCCCGAAAGAGCGAATAAAAAGAACGGTTTTTTTAAGGCAAAAAATCCTTCCTTTTCTACTTATTAGTCATGGGTGTGATTAACAGCCTTTTGACAATTCCGTTGTTTCTTAGGTTCCAATGATTGTTGTTGGCTGCTGGGGACACGCTGACAGTGGGCCTTGGACGTATGCCCATGATCGAGATGGCCGCATGAAACTTCCCAAGTTCCCACTGCTCATCCACGACTTGCTAGTTGCTACCCCCCTTCTTCTTTTCTTTTCTTTTTTTTTTATCTCCCCCCTTTAGCTTAGTTGGGATTGCTGAAGTGATTGGACTGTTTTGCTCGCTCCCGTTGCTGTGGATTCTTTTCTCGGAAGAAGCTGTGTGGGGATGAGCTTTTCTGGGTATGCCCCAAGGAGCTCAGTTTCATCCGTGCGCAGAAGAAAGAAGTCTCACTTTTTTTTTACCCAGTTGGTGTTGATTCTGGCGTCGAAATTTGACACTTAGGTTCAGTTTCAGATTCCTAGGAAGTAGGAACGGCATCGTTTGCTTCACCGGACGTTCCACGCATATGATTGATTGACCGGTTGGTCTGCTCGTTCGTTTGGTCAACCGTAGTCAAATTGCTCTTCCATACGAACAAAGAGTTTCAAGGGTGTTTCTGGTTTGGTGGAATCTGACGTCCGACGAAGTTGAGCCTCTTAAGTTTCCGCGGATTCTTGAAATTTTTTTCTTTTAGCACTGTGGGAACTGCTGAGAAGAAGCTGAAGCGACAAGTTTCGACACTTGCTCTGGGTCATGGTGTCGACTGGGTCTCTGTGCTTATTTGGGTTGATTTGAAGATTCATGTCGTGAACTCTTTTCCGGGTAAATCCCGATTGCGGGTCTTGTTTCTTGTAGTTTTTTTCCTGCTTTATCGTATCCATTCGCATTGCGGGATTCCGAAGTTGGACTGTCTCCGAAATAACTGTTGTTCTGGTGCACTCAGAATTTTATTTGTGGATTCGAATTCGTGATATGGGGAGTAATGGGGTGGAGCACTCGCTTGAAGAATCAGGGGAAGGAATTATTGGCAGCGGCAAGGAAGTGATCGCGGATTTGCTGCAATTAGGTGGTAGTGATGAATCTGGGGCATTTCAAGATGCTGGCTCTTCTATGGAGCAAGAAGACGGGAAGATTGGTTCTGAGAGGTCATCATCAGTTTTGGAGATTTCTCGATCAGATGATTCCAACGTCCATTCTTCAGCTCGAAAAAGTAAGCGACACGTTTCGCAAGCTTTAGCTTACTATAATGCAGTGTTTTGCATGACTAAGCAATAGCAGGAAAAATGTTGAAAATCATACTTGTTAAAAAGAAGAAACCGAGGGGAAAAATGGTAAAGACTACTGCAGGAACAAGCTTAGGAAAGGAGCTGATCCTACTACATCGTGAATATTGGCCACAAGTGCCATTAGGCTTTGTTTCGGGGGTCTTATCAAATGTGTTCTGTCGTTAAATTATCATCCGTGAAAGTACACGAGTTGAAGTAGACTTTTAAATAGAGCATAATGTATGATTAGGCATCATGTTGTTCTTCTCATTTCTTATGACAGTTTTGTTTCGACTACGATTTCAATTGTAGTCTCTTTGCATTTGTGGAGTGGTTGTAGAACTCTAGAAATGCAAGCAATATCCTTCTGCTCTAATTCCTGTAATGTGTTTTTCATTTTGCGAGTTAAACAAGCCTATGGCGAAAGTGCCTCGAAATGCCAAAAGTGAAGGCGAAAAAAGTTAAACCTGCATAGTCAATTTTGCCAATTGAGTCTGTCGAGGAAAACGAGAATAAGAAAGGCAAGAGAAAGTAGCTCCTTCATATCCAGAACATCCAGAATAGGAAATTCTAGGGCCTCTATTTTTGGGACTAAGTTTTCTCACTCGCTAAAGTGTTCACCATAATATTAACACATCTATTTATGCTAAGTTGATTTAGCCCTTGTGGTAAAATAGTTGTTTTACCCAAGGATTCATGTAGAACAATCTGAAAGTTTGTGAATTTAGAGCAGAATGTCTTATTCAGCAATGTTTTCTAACTTTAATCAATTTTGGAAATTACCGTGAGTGTCCTCATGAAATAGTTGCTTCCTTGTCAATATGGTCATGGTATTCGAGTGTAGATATCAAATTAACCTTTTAACTGATCAAACAGAAAATTCAATATGCTTAATCTATATCTGTTTCAATTTAGCCCTTGCTTATTTCATGTAGTTTGTGGTTGCAGGTTTCGATCATTGCATCAGTGCTCCTACCGGACATCGAAGAAATATTCAACATGATAGTCAGGATATTACATTTTACAGGTCCATGACAGAGAGAAAGGAAACTTCAAGGCACAATTTGTTTGACAGGCTGTCAGAACGTGAAAAGGTGTGTATATGATAATCACATGTATTGGACTTTTGAGTATCTTGCAATTATGCATCAAAAAGGTCCCTGCCTGTCTTCCTTAAAAAACAACGAAAGAAAAAATGGTTTGTATTTTGTAGCTTCATTGCAAAGCATGAGATTTCTATGTCCTGCTTTATTTTTAGGGGAAACCATTAAGCCAAGCGTCTAATGCCTGGTCTGAGAATATGTTGCCAAATGCTGCGGGAAACAACACAGACTTATTGGCTAGTTGAACTTGAAGGGAATTATGTGACTTCTTTACTCTATCTTTCCAAACTATATGGTTGTTTAGCAGCTTCATGGGAAATCCTAGACATTTTCATACATTAATGTACGCATAAAAAAAATTCTTTACTATTATAATGACTAATAGGCAATATTTCACAGTACTTTGTATGTGATTCTTCACTTCACTAATGACTATCTCTCCTGTACTTGTCTCAGAAGAAGCTCATTATAGAGCTGGTCAAAATTCAAAATGATGGCACGGTGGAAGTTGATTTAACCAAGAGCGACAGCATGGCTTCAGAATTGCTGGAGCTTCATTCTGTTGAATCAGCACCTATCAGTGTCGATGATTCTATCGTGGACTCAAACAAATCGATTCCAAGGTTGAAAATCACCATTCTTATTGTTGGAACAAGAGGAGATGTGCAGCCTTTTTTGGCTATGGCCAAGAGACTTCAGGCAAGTTTAAGAGTCTGTTATTGGGATGCCTGCTAAGTTTGTATTTGTCATTTCCCCTAAATATCGAAGGCTACCGAATATCTAATAGCTTTGTACTATCACATGAAGACTCTCGTTTGTTATTCCATTTTGTAAAGTACGTATAGTATGCCTTCTCTATCATGTTATACTGAGTAGTGGTGTTGGAAAGAATAGATGCGTCTTCTCTATTTATGAGTGCCTGCTGATTGCAGACTCTCAAGTTAGAGCCGTTAAAATAGGACTTCTCTTGGCTGCTCAGGGGTTTTATTAGTAGGCATTGAAATTGAACCAACTGTAAATCTCATCCAGAGTGTATCAAGCACAATCGCGTCTGCTACATCAGATAAATTATTGTCTGGTTTTAAGCAATTGGGCATTTCTTCTGAAAGTTTTCTTTAGAATTCAGAGAAATTTTTTTGTTCTATCTGTGAGTCACATTTGAGCCCTTATCTTCTCTTCAAGATAGAATCCTGGGGAAGGATAATATTTAGATGTCTGTGGTTCCAGGGGTTGCCAATTTGATGCCCTTGGATGACTTCACTAAATGTTACTGAAGCTGTGTGCTCTGAAATCACTACTATGGAGATAAACAAGTGTTCCTTGGCTTACATGAACTTTAGTATTCTAGAAATGATTAAAATGAGATGAGTTTTGCTTCTTCTTCTTTTTTCTTGGGCCTTGTTTCCAGGAATTTGGTCATCATGTCAGGCTGGCTACTCATGCCAACTTCAAGAGTTTTGTGAGGTCAGCTGGTGTAGATTTCTATCCTTTGGGTGGTGATCCTCGAGTTTTAGCAGGATGTAAGGTCCTAATCTCCTCTTGAATCGAATGATATGTTGGTTTTGTCTTATGCTTCAGTATTCTGGTCTAGTTTCTAGCATCTTTCTGTTGACAATTTCCGGTTGCCTGGTGCTCGTGTGTTATTTGTAGTTATGGCCAGAAATAAAGGTTTCATCCCATCCGGGCCAGGAGAAATATCTATTCAGAGAAAACAGCTGAAGGCTATAATTGAATCTCTTCTTCCAGCCTGCACAGAACCGGATGCAGAAACTGGATTGCCTTTTAGAGCTCAGGCAATTATCGCAAATCCTCCTGCTTATGGTAAGCTCACACTGCAAAAATTCACTGTTGTCTTTCGAATTTTCCAGGAGTTACTTTCCTCCACATAGTTGTTAGACATTTTGTTTCTCCCAAAAGCTAATTTGTCAGAAAAGGTGACAATTAATGTATAGCTAGGTCTTAAAACTGACTGTCTTGCATAGGTCTGACCTCATATACAAAAAACGAGACGTGGAAGTAACCATGTCAAACAGATAATGAGTGACAGGGAACTTACAAAAAGAGTGGGAGATGCTTGATTGAAACCAGTGAATGTGCTTGAATATCATGTTAAACATATCATTTTTCCCAAAATCTTAAAAATATTGTCGGGAAACGGGCCAACAATCCATATATACCATACTTAAGATTCAATGGATGAATCTTTAATTTGAAGAAACTTTGATTTTTAGAGGCATAATCTTTTGTCATTGCTAGAGAGGATCCAAACCCTAAGTTTATTGACTAAAGAAAACTATGTAGTGTCTAAAGAAATCCCATCTGCAGCTAATTGCGTACAAAAACAAATTAAGGACCTGGAAAAAGTTTCCATCTTCGAACTCTCTCACTTTCTCATGAGATTTCTTTATACACTACATAGTTTTCTTTAGTCCGTTCCTAATTATTTGCCATCGCCTACACCTGATTCTGAATCACCTCTTTCTTCTCTTGCGCTTTGATGATACATGACAGTGTTGTTAAGGGTGTCGTTGTCGTTTTCATTTGTTGGATACTGAACAACCTTTGAAAAATAAGATGTGAAAGTATGAAAAATGATTACTAAAGCAACAACTATGGAAGTATGGGCATTATGGCTGTTCAGGTTGAATGTAGAACAGATACTTAGTTGCTAAACAGATCGGAAGGGCAGCCAGGAAAAAGGAAAGCTACAATGACCTGTCATCCTGGATAGGGTTTGTGAAACTTTTTTATGTGGTTATGGTTGCAGGACATACACATATTGCGGAAGCTCTTGGTATACCTCTTCACATCTTCTTTACCATGCCATGGACGTAAGTGTTTGACTGTTTTAGCATTTGACCTTAAATCCTCTTATTAAGTAATTTTGGTGCTAAATTTAAATTTTGTTCAACTGCAAGTTTTGTTTAGCTACGAGTTACATTTTCTTTGAAAGGATGCTTCTTTTCACATACGTTTTTGATAGGCAGGCCGACATATGAATTTTCTCATCCATTGGCTCGTGTGCCTCAAAGAGCGGGTAACTGGGTATGCTTTTCGATATCACACATTTCGACTATAGAACGTCTAGTAAGTTTGCCTCCAACTCATTGCACTGATAAATCGTTTTTGCTGGATCCAGCTTTCTTATGTAATCGTCGATCTCCTGATATGGTGGGGTATAAGAGGCTACATTAATGACTTCAGGAAAAGGAAGTTGAAGCTAGCTCCTATTGCATATTTTAGTACATACCGTGGATCAATATCTCATTTGCCAACAGGATATATGTGGAGTCCTCATCTTGTGCCTAAGCCAAGTGGTAAGGAAGCCCTAGTTAGCCAAGAGTGCTCGTCATTGACATTGTTGCCAGAATATTTTGATCTGTTCTTCTTTATGACTAAAAATGTCTCTCCTCTGCGAGAAACAAGTTCTGCTGTTTGGAGTGGTGCTATAGAATTCGTGTTTGCTGTGTTTTGCATGTTCAGTTAGTTTTGGTGGTAATGTGTCTAGCTGGGGTGTGACTGCATGCTGGTGGCCCCATATAGAAACTAGTTGTCCGCCTCTAAAAATGTAAGGGGAGGAATAGTAGACAGGAAGAAACCTGAATCAATCAAGAGAATTGCAGCGAGAAATTTAAAAATTTTACTGGTTCTTCTGACCAGGGAGCATCTAAATGCTGCTAAATCCCCATTGTCATTGGAGTTTGTTCCATATGTGAAATATTTCCACTTAAACAAAGTATTGAGATATCTCCTAATTTTTGTTAATCTGATGCTAGGTACTTTATCTGCACCTTGATATATCTGTGTTTCAAAACAACCTGAATAGTTCCTAGCAATTTGCAATTCTTGTGTCGCATTCCCTCTAGCCTCACCTTTGAGAACTACAATTATAAGGGCAAATTAACTGTGTTGAGTACCTCACTTTTCATGACTTCTCTTATCATCGTAAAGGCAGTTAGTACCTTCCTTCTTATGGCATAATGATAATAAACCATAAGAGCTATAATGTCAGGTATAGCATTTAAAAATGGCTTGTGGGATTAGTAAAACTAGCTCTTATGATGGCATGAATTTGCAGCTAATGTTTCTGTTGGAAATTTTTCTGGTATTCATCATCTATCTTGCTACACATCACTTCTTAAGAAATTTTCATGACATCTTAGTAGAGAAAAGCTTTGATTTTCTTTGCTTTAAGTCATATTCTTACTTGCCTTTGATGGAGTAGCTACATGTGAAATTAGTTATTCTATTAGGTTCTTTGTTCCACCAGCAATTAAATTTTGGGTCTTGTGCCTTGTTGTCTATTTTTTGCAAACATACTTTGAAATTCCTTAGTTTGAGATCACATAATCTTGTGTCATCGTATCGTTCCTAAATAACTGCAGATTGGGGGCCGTTAGTTGATGTTGTTGGCTATTGTTTCCTTAACCTCGGGTCGAAGTATAAACCTCAGGAAGAATTTGTTGAATGGATTCAAAAGGGACCAAAACCTATGTATATCGGGTTTGGGAGCATGGTATGGCTATTTCTTTGTGCTTCAAAGTTTTCTTCTTGTTGAACCCTTTTGCTTGTACATAAGAGTATAGATATGAGTAACGTACTTGATTTATTTGATTATACCAGATGGGAAATTTTCTTTTGCAAAGCAGTCATACCCTTTATAGTTGGCTAGATGCGAATCTCTGCTCTCTTCACTTGTGCTAGATTTTGGCCCAGCTATTTCTTAGTAATCTCAAGGATGCCTTCTAGTTTTTGAAGTAACTGTTTAGTCGACTATATACTCTGGCATCCAGTAAAAACTCCATCCTTAATATGCTAACTACTTGATTTCTGCCGTGTTATGCTGATAACTCTTGCTATTAGATTATAGGAAAAATCAGTTTTCTGGAATTTTTCTGTTTTCTGTTCAGAGATGAATTTTATTGGAGTTTGATGTTAAATATTTTATTGGTGACTTGTGAAGCCTCTTGAAGATTCCAAGAAAACTACAGATATCATAATTAAGGCATTAACGGATACCGGACAAAGAGGGATAGTTGGTCGAGGATGGGGTGATCTTGGGACCCGTAAGTATCTTGCTGTTTAATTTTCCCGCCTTTCCTCTTATTGTGCTTCAAAAGATATAGCTTGATTTAAAGCATTCTTATTGGTGATTTTTTGAACACTTTTGCATTAGTTTGTATGTGTTATTAGTTTATTAACGTTGTTAGGTTAAAAAAAATCGCACAGTTTTCTATCTCTTGAGCTCAGATATCACTTGGTTTTGGAATACCTAGACTACTGTTTGGAGTAAAACCTCAATTCTTAATTAAATGTAGTGGAACCTGATCTGCTAACAAGGTTTCTTGTCAAATTCAATTATTCGTTATCTTGCTTATTAATGTCAAGAAACGGAATATGTGTGGGTTTCCATAATTGTATGTGGTAACTGGCTCTATTCTAATTGACTCTGTTTCTTGCAGTTCTGGATGTTCCAGACAACATTTTTCTTTTGGAGGATTGCCCTCATGATTGGCTGTTTCCCCAGTGTTCAGCTGTGGTGAGTTTGCCCTACTTAAGAGAAGAGAGTACTTCGGCTTCATACCGTCGCATCATCATAAGTTGTGACACGTGTCTATTACATGAACGAATGTTCATTGATTTTACATCACCTTCGCTGCAAGAACCTGATGGGTAGATGATCTAGTTGTTAGTCATTTTGTTAGTGAACTCTGATAGCTCGATCTGATGAAGCGTGGTTTCATAAAATATCAATGCTAGTTCAAATTTTTCATCATTTCTTCCTGCTCATAAGACCCAATTAAGGTGAAACCGTATTGCTCAACTTGCAGGTTCATCATGGTGGTGCAGGAACAACAGCTACTGGACTAAAAGCTGGGGTAAAAATTTACACATTCGAGCCTTGCATTTTGCTTTTGGTTGCTTAATGGCAAATAGGCCATAAAGCTTCTATTGGATTCTTTTCATTTAGAATGAATGAAAAAATATGCTGTTAAAGTGGTGCGTCGCGAAGAAGAGATAAGGCTATATCTTCTGGTGGCAAGGATTTAGCGCCACTTCCAGATTCTTTGTTACGAAAGAATTTTAAGCATCTATCTTGTGCTACATCTATAACTAATGTCGAGAGCCTATTTTTTGCTTCATTTATAACTAATGTTGAGAATGTGGTTTGCAGTGTCCTACGACCATAGTTCCTTTTTTTGGAGATCAGTTCTTCTGGGGCGATAGAGTCCACCAAGGAGGCCTTGGCCCTGCACCCATACCAATCTCCCAGCTCAGCATCGAGAATCTTTCGGATGCCATAAGATTTATGCTACAACCTGAGGTAATTCAGATGTCTTGATGAGCCCACTCCTTGATGTATGGATGCAATAAAGCACGTCTTGATCATTGAATTACATTTTCAGCAGTTTTTCCTGACCAAAGCAAGTCGAATAGCAGAAATTCAATGAAATAAAACCGAGTTTTACTTTTTAATGAGGCTGCCTTTCACAAATTGGCATGCTGAATCTTCTGCAGAAAAAAAAAACAAGATTGTAAAACAGAATAAAAGATGACTCAGTTTCACTCTCTCAAGAGATTGAAAATGCCGCCGTGCTGTGTTGTAACATTTCTCTATGCATCGATGCTTCCAGGTGAAGTCTCGGGCGATAGAAATAGCAAAGCTGATAGAAAACGAGGACGGGGTGGCGGCCGCGGTCGACGCGTTTCATCGGCATCTGCCCCGAGAGCTTCCCTTGCCGACTGCGTCCTCGGACGACGACGAGCCTCCCAACCCTTTCCGGTGGGTGTTCCTCCAAATTGAGAAGTGGTGCTGCTTGCCATGTAGTAAATAGGGCCTCCTTTGAATACATTGAGAGTGGGTGTATAGATAGATGTCATTCCTTTTTGTCCCTCTAAAAAAAAATTTCTTTCCCAATTTTATCCATATCATTCATTTCATTCTTATCAGGGTTTGGCTGACCATTGTATTCAAACCTAGCCTAAGATTGATTTTGCCACTGCTTTTGTAACATGACTAGGCCTTATTTGAACTGTTGTATTGTAATGGATGAAGGTTGAATAGCAAATACACATTTGATGAGAGCATGTGATAGGAAGATCATGTCCATTGGGCCTCTGTTGCCAGGGTATTGAAAAATTACCTTGCAGGGTCTCAACCATTTTAACTCGCGCGCAATTAAATCCTAAATATTTTTAAAAGTCGGTTCGAATGTCAATCTTAAATCCAGTCGTTTTCTTTGGCCTTCGATCCCGAACCTTAACAAGTGGGTAACGTAGTTACAAAACTCAAATTTCGTGTATTCCCGACACAAATCAAACTTGATAAACAAACCTCTCAATGTCAAATTGGTTTTTGGAAGCTCGGCCGAAAGTCTATTATGTCATTAGTAGATTTATTAATAAGGAAGATCACATGTAATGTTGAAAATATTATACAAAGTGCAATCACATTCTAAATAATTGAGACGATTTGACAATTTCATATCCTTATTTGAGACGATTTAGCTACTTCAAGTTTTTATTTGAAATTTTTCCTGATCCTTTTGATTTCTATTAATTAAGAATTTAAGATATAAGATGAAAAAATAAAGTACTTATTAATTTTTTTTATTAAAATAAAAAATCTCGCCCGCAATTTCTAGAAAAAAAAAAACGATGGTTTACGTAGAAGCTTAACTGCACTCTTTACAGTTAACAACAGTAGCGCAGCGACGACGGAGCAGAGCCGTCTTGAGAAGATGGAGATGGCGATGAGAGCGACGGCGGACATCGCCGTCGGCGAAGACGTCACGCCGCCGATCGCTCCTCTCTCTCTCGCCCTCTACGACTCCTTCCTCCCCTCTCACTGCTCCTCCTGCTTCTCCCCTCTCTCTCCTCCTCCGCCTCCTCCGTCTCCGCTCGCCGGCTCCTCCCGCTCCTCCCTCTACTGCTCCGCCGCCCGCTGCCGCCCTCCCTCCGCCTCCTCCCCCCGCCTCTCCTCCGCCGAGGAGCTCCTCCTCCTCCTCCGCTCGGCCTCCGGCGACACCTCCGACCTCCGCGCGGCCCTCCGCCTCCTCGCCCGCGGCCCCGACGCCTCGAGCCGGAGGATCGGCGGCCTCCTGACGAACCGCGAGAAGCTGATGAGCTCCGGCGACGGGGAGGCTGCGGAGAGGATCCGGAGCGGCGCCAGGGCCCTGGCGGCGGCGAGGAGGAGGCTGGGCCTGGGCGGCGGATATGTGGAGGGCGATGCCATTTTGGAGGAGGCGGCGCTGTGCGCGACGATTACGAACGCGGTGGAGGTCCAGGATGTCGACGGTCGCGGCCTGGGGATTGCTGTGTATGGTACGGAGTTCTCGTGGATCAATCACAGTTGCTCGGCTAATGCTTGTTATAGGTTTCAGTTTAGTGGACCGGAGATTAGTGCTCGGGCTCCGGACGAATGGTGGCTCCGCATTGTTCCTTATGGCGATCGAGCTCAAGTAAAAACATGCAGAAACTCGAATGCGTATTCGTGTGTTTGCATATCAAGGTCCGGTTGTTGTTAACTCGTGTTCATTGGGAATATGATGTTGCAGATGGACAGTGTTGCTTGCAGACCTGGTGAAGTTGGGAAAGGTAGCAAGAACATAATTTGACAAGTTACAGCTTTGTCCAATTTGTTTCTCCCTAGAATTTGTAAACATTATTAGTTTCGATGAAGATTATGCAGATTACGGGCCGAAAATAATAGTTCGTAGCATAAAGGCAATTAAGAAAGAGGAGGAGGTGACTGTTGCATACACTGACTTATTGCAGCCTAAGGTGCGTAGTCTTTTCATGCCTATGCTATTTGTTTTCTCGTGATGTTTGGTTTATGTTGTGTGTAGAAAAAAAGTCATGCTTTACTCAGTGGTACAAATACTATTGTCTTAAGGTAAGTGACTTGGGTGCTTAAGCTCTAAGTTTTGCGCGTCATCAAGTGAAAAGAATGTCCTCCCATATAAGTTTTTTCATTGAAGAATTTAGAAATTATGCAGAGGTATTGTGATTTCAATCCTTTCATCTCAAATTTAGTACTGAGAGCAAATAAACATAATGAAATAACCACTCATTGCTATTTATTGAAATTGTTAGGACGCTCTAATCTCAGGAGTCGATCTGCATTACCATATTGTTGTCATCACGTATGCTCTCACCCCCACAATATACTAGATTTGCAGCCCCAAGTGCTCTCTCTCTCTCTCTCTCTCTCTCTCTCTCTCTCCAAATCTAGCTTCCTTTTTGGGTCTTCATTTGTATTTTTTGGTTAGTGCCTGACCTCATTTGTAATGTACTGTTAATCTTCATTCTTCCAGGCAGCTAGGCAGTCTGAGCTACAGTCCAAGTATCAATTTAAATGTTCCTGTACAAGATGTGATGCAGAACCTTTAGGATATGTGGATCACGCTTTGCAGGTAAAAGATCTGAACTTTATCACTCTTCCCTCAAATAATATCCTCTGGCTGCATGTTCTCAGTAATCTATAGGCTCTTTCCTTTTCTTGATTTCTCTCTGCTTTTCTGTGAGCTTTTGCAACTTGTGACAACAAATTGTTGAATGGTATGATACTCAAAATGGGGACATATCCAAGCCTGTCCCTATGGCCTGAAACTACTTCAACTAACTGATATCATTTGGGTTTCACAAGTCATACATTCTTTAGAAGTTGGGGAAGACTGACTTTGGTTGAAGAAAAAAGTTTTTTGGTAGGAACCTCAAAAGTTAAAAGTCCTTTATTTATTTTCCAAGACTTGGTTATGATGGAGGAACCTTGAGGTGCTAAAAAAGAAAGAAAAGAATTACTATGGTGGAGGTAAAGTAGTGAGTTACACAGTACCAAGGATCTAGCTTCTATCAACCGAACACAGGAACAGCAAGTTTAAGTTTTTAATGAAAAGCTCTCCAGAAATGAGATAAAGGGAGGGAGCAAGCTTTTGTTATCTTCCAGTCTCTATTGCTACATAATATTCGAGGTTGCTTGACATAATAAATGCTTTGGTGTTCTTCCCATCTAGATTTCCTAACTCATGTTCATAGTTCAGCTGAAGTTCATTACTCCAACTTTGCAGCTGATGGGGTTTCAGTGATTAGGTTTCCTAGTGTTTTTTCGTTTATACTTTGAATTTGTTCTTTGTAGTATATCTGTCTTATATAAGCTATATTGTTAGCCCATGCCACTGTATGGGCTTAGCAAAGTTGTAATGTTTTGTTGGTGGATTATCTAGCATTGCTATGTGCATATCTCTTAATAATTTATCTCGTCATGTTCATGTATTCCTGCTAGTCGCATAATGCATTATCTGTTCATGAAGAATCTTTGTTGGTGAGCATCAGGTAAGATCCTTCGGGAGGTATTTCTAATATCTCCGCGATCATACTCATTGACAACTGCTTTTTGACCTATGAAATTGTGCATGTTGTTCCTGAGCCACATTTTACCTGCTATTTAGTTCATCACTTTTCTGACTTGAATGATAAGTCAGTATCAAAATCATGATGGCCACTAGGAAAGAAATTGATAAACAGGACCCTGATGAATATATTCGAGATATTGAGACCACCCAAACCTTTCAGGATTTCTGTGCTGCCTATGGCTATTTCAGTGAAGATAGAACCAACTGCAGCATCTATCAGGATGAGGCTGCCAGAAGGTTGAGTGAGTCGATGGATGACGTTATATCTGAATATCTATCAGATAGTGATCCAAAGTCTTGCTGCGAGAAGCTCGAGAGTTTGCTTACGGAAAGGGTCTTTGATGAAGACTTTGCATCGAAGGCTGGAATCAAGCAAAAGTTTCTTCTGCAACCCTTGCACCATCTCTCCTTGAATGCCTACATAACATTGGCTTCCGCTTATAGGATCTGTTCGAGTCAATTAGTTGCTCCACAGATACAAGCAGGTGCTCTTGTATTGGAAACTTTGAAGTTGAGCAGAATCAGTGGAGCATACTCGCTGCTTCTTGCAGGAGCAGTCCACCATCTGTTTCGCTCTGAATCTTCTCTAATGGCATCTGCAGCAACCTTTTGGGTAAGTGCAGGAGAGTCCTTGTTGTCTCTTTCTAGAAGCTCGGCGTGGAGTATATTTTCAGAAAAACCGCACACTGCACGTTCATCAATTCCCAAGCCCCAGTCCTGCAGGTGCTCCTTGATGAGCAAAGTTCAGTTGCGGCCTTTTTGGAGTCAAGCTTTGTATATGGACTTTGAAAACATATCTGGGGATTTCATGAGCTGTATTGCTGTTCTGACAAAGATGCTTTGGGGTTTCCTAGCTCACGGTAGTCGTTACTTGCAAGCAGTGAAGGATCCTGTTGATTTTGGGTGGCTCAGGACAGTCGAAATCTTCAATGGATACAATTTCGGAGCTCATTTAGATGGCACTGGTTTAGATTCTTATTGTGAGAGAGACCAAAATGCTTCTACATATAAATTGCGTGCATCGTGTGACCAAGAAAGAAGACTACTTCTGTTCCAGCTTGGTGTCCATTGTTTAATGTATGGAGGACTGCTCTGGAGTATATGCTACGGTCGGACTCCGCGCATTCTTGACATGTTATCCAATGAGAATGACATGGTAGATTGTTCACTGGATCGATTAGAGAATTTTTGAATCCCTGAATCATTTTAAGTTAACAGGCAAGTTCTACTTGAGCTGGCTTGACGGCTCTGATTTGTGCACTGACTTGTTTTAACTGTTGCCTCGTTCACGAAGCTTTGCAGTGATAGCATCGTATCATAGAACTAACTCAAGTTCCTGTTTGATCATGTGTTTTTGGCTCAGTCACACAAGCGGCCGGTTGAATTGCAAATTGAACCTTTGTTCCACAGATTTTCACTAGCAAGTTTTTACTTTTGGTTAAATCTCCTTTGACGACAGTGACAATACCTTATCACCTTTGAGCAGTTCGTCAAGGAGACAGCAGCTGATGAAGCATGAACCGATCGATGCTCTTGCCGACATCACATTTTAAATTTAGGCAAGGCTAGCTCCAGCTGCCAATCCCATGGACTCACCTAATCGTTAATGCTTGGATGGAAGAAATCCAGCATCCTTAATCTTCATCGTTGCGCTCGCATCATCGATCTAAGTGTGTCCAGACTATATACGTAGTCGTATCATTCGTTACTGATTCACGTTCAAAGCCTATGAACAAACGTGAACGCGAAACGTGTGACTGAATTACCGTCACGATAAGATTTATAGGAGTTAGCCAACAAGTGAAGCAATTTTCAGGAGGCGGATATCTTTTCATCATGCACAAGTACTTTGACTCGGGCTCCACAGTATCTTCACCGTCCGATCTGTACCACGTTGCCTCCCACGTTGTCGGAGGAGATTGGATTGGACTCCCCAAAATGAGGCCCGACTTCCCTATATAAATCAATTCATCCCTATTTGGCCCTCTATTGCATAGAACAAATTAGTCATTTGGTGGTTTGAATTGTCATATTTGCCAACCCACCATGGCCGAGGGGAAGCAGCACCACCACCTCTTCCACCACAAGAAGGACGATGGGGACGCCGCCTACTCCGAGACGGCCACCACCTACGCCAGTGGCGGCCCCCAGGGTGGCTACACCGAGACCACAGTGGTGACTGGGGTGGGTTCAGGCACGGGGGGTGTCGATTACCGGAAGGAGGAGAAGCACCACAGGCACCTCGAGGAGCTCGGCGAACTCGGCGCTGCTGCCGCCGGCGCTTACGCCGTGGTAACATTTTGCCCCCTCTTTTCATGCGATAATTCTGGTTGGACTTTTCATCTCTCTAGTGATGAACAAAAACAACTAACTTGAACGAGTATCGCGTCAAACAACGTGCGAAGGTATTGTCTCTTATATACAAAGTAAATAAACTCAACAATTTATGCTATTGATGTATTGGTTGGTTAAATAAAAAGATTATAACTTACTTTATGTATAATAGAAACATTGATCCGACCGAACTTTATTTCTCCATCATCATATTGCACGTGTAACCTAAATTCACCCATATGATTATGCTTCTTTTTTCTTATTGTTTCTCCGGCTTTGGTAATTGAATCTATTATATATATCAGCATGAGAAGCACCGGTCGGAGAAAGACCCCGAGCACGCCCGCAAGCACAGGGTGGAGGAGGAAATAGCGGCGGCAGTGGCGGTCGGAGGGGGCGGCTACGCTTTATATGAGCATCACGAGAAGAAGGAGACGAAGAGGGAAGATGAGGAGGCTCATGGAAAGAAGCATCACCATCTCTTCTAATTTACGTTACACCTGCATATTAATCTCTCTTTCGATGTTATATTCGATCGTATCGGCGTGAGGCCGTCCTAGTTAAATAATACTTCGTGTGCATGCACTTTCTTATATGAGTGTACGAGTTGTGGCAGAACATATCGATACGTTGTTATGTGGTCTCTGGCTCTTATGATCTCAGTCAGCAGCTATGTTAATGAAATGCATGGAGTTTTGTTTCTCAAGTGATGCCATCCTTGGGGCCAAAAGCAAGGGAAAACACAAAAGATTGGCCATCCATGTCGGAACTATATGCGAATTTACCTTTTATTTGGAAAACACTTTCCTAAAGATGATTACTCGTATTGCTTACAAAAAATGAATGAATCAATAATATTTTCATTGTTCACGAAAATATTTAGAGATAAATTATTATCGATTATAAAAATATTTTCCATTGACTAATTATTTCAATCAATACAAATGATTATTTTTAAGAAAATGTTAAGCAAATCCTTTGTTTTCCGCGAAATAAACGGAGCTTAAAGAGGTTATAGTTTTCCTTCTAATGCATTAGGCAAATCGATTTTTCGAAAGAGGTTTAAACTGTCGAGAAACTGATAATGTATTTATTGTAGCACGTTTCTCTTAAAACTGTCTCTTGCATGTAACTCGAATTATTGTTGGGGGAGTTAGTATAGAGAAAATAAAACCGAACGAGGCGTAATACTATGTTAAAGATGGTGATTTTCCCATACGGATACGCAATTCAATGCAATCGGTAACAACAAATTTTTTTATCTCGGGACACAATGCCCGGACTCAAATAATCTTTTGTTAGAGAGGGCGCCGACTCGGTCAACCACGCCGACTTTAGCTGCGTTTCTTCTTTTGTCCTCCTCCTCTCGTGAAGAGAAAAACTTCACGAGATTACTGGTAGTTAATGGTACTTTCCGTGGTATCATCGCGATAACCTCTTGGCAGGAAATATTGACTATATCCCTAAGATCGATTGCCGTTCACAAATCCGACCTTAGCTCAGTTGGTAGAGCGGAGGACTGTAGTGGTTGCTCACAGATAAATCCTTAGGTCGCTGGTTCGAATCCGGCAGGTCGGACTTCTTCCTTTTGTCTTTCTAGTCTCATTCGTTTTCCACCTTCTCCTTATTTTCTCCTTCCCTCCTGGCTTGCCCTCAATGTGTGTCCATGGCTCACTGTTCGAAGGCACCTGTGCGGGCCGCACGGCCTCGGCCAGGGGGCCTCGGTGCTGAAATAAATGTCGCTCGTGCCATCGTGCGGCGGCGAAGCTGAAGATCTGATGAGCACGCACACACGTCGATGTGCTTTGAATGTTGTGTCTGTCATTGGTCTGATCAATCCTTTTGTAGGAACTTACCTGCACATACGAAGGCGTCTCTTTTCAGGCTAAGATCGAGCAATGGAAGTAAAAACCGGCAAGCTCGGGGATAGATTGACTAAAAGGCACGAATTCAGATCGATTCGTCGTGTTTTGCTTCGGTACCATTTCTGGCTCTCGCGAGAGGGCAGTGACACTGGTCTGATCAATCCTTTGTAGGAACTACCCGCACGTACGAAGGCATCTCTTTTCAGGCTAAGATAGAGCAATAGAAGTGACACTGGCAAGCTCGGGGATAGATTGACAAAAAGGCACGAATCCGGACAAATTCGACTTGTTTTGCTCCGGTACCATTTTCTGGCTCCCATGAGAGAGGAGTGCCTGCTTTCTTTACTAAATCAATGACTTGATGCTTTGTGTTCAAAGTATAGACACTTCTATAGATCATCACCAAGAGCAAAAGACAAAAATCATGTAAGCTTATCCAGAGAATACAATGGATCACGTATCTCTTCACTATCGTACATATGTCAATTTAATCCTAAACCTTTTGATTTGGCCAATTTGGTCCTAAACCTTTTTGATTATTTATCAATATGATCATTTTGGCCAATTTTGACCGAAAATTGCTAATGTGGATGCTAGCCATCTTATGTGGCATGGTTGCGCTAACGTGGAAAATATTTCTAAAATTTTAATATATTATATTATTTTTATTTTTCTTTCATTGTGGCCGACAAGGCCTAGCGATGGCTGCTTCGCGCCGTGGCCGGTGATCACCCTCATCTAGATCTAGCAAGGGCCTTCGCGTCCTCACCTGCGGGCCACGAGGGCTTGGGCGAGGGCCGCGACCTCCACAATGAAACAAAAAGAAAAGAAAAATATTTAAAAAAAATAAGAATTTTTTAAATTGCAGAAATTGTCTATGTCAGCGTCGACCGTGCCGCATAAGACACCCGGTATCCACGTTGGCAAACTGTCAAAAGGTTTCTGATTAAATTAGCCAAATCGAAATATTTAGGACTGAATTGACATCGACATAACAAGCTTAAGACTTTTTTGATAATTTTCCATGTGCTCGTATGAAAATTAAGGCGAGATCGCCATCCGTAAACAAATCGACTTTGATTGATTAAAATCAAAAGCTGCACAGAGAGGGCACCGTAGCGGAGTTTAGTTGCATTTCTTCTTTTCCCTTTGTTGGCGTACGACTAAAAGTGGCGTGAGATATGTAAGTGTATTAAATGAGTTCGACACCAATTCACAAATCCGACCTTAGCTCAGTTGGTAGAGCGGAGGACTGTAGTGGTTACTCGCAGATTAATCCTTAGGTCGCTGGTTCGAATCCGGCAGGTCGGAATCCTTTTTCAAATGTTTCTTTCTTTTTCCTTTTTTTTTTTTTGCAAATTTTCTTCATTTCTTCGCCATTCGAAGGCACTTGTGCAGATGCTAGGTGACTGGCCTAGTGGCGCGGCGTCCTGGAGGGGGCTCGGAGTTTCGGCAGTCGTGCCGTCGAGCGGCAAAGTTGAAGATTTGATGAACACACATGTTGATATTCTTTGAATGTTGTCTGTCGTTGGTTCGATCCTTTGTAGGAACTACCTGCACGTATGAAGGCGTCTCTTTTCAGGCCAGGATAGAGCACTAGAAGTAAAACTGGCAAGCTCGGGGATAGATTGACTAAAAGGCAAGAATTCGGACAGATTCGCCTTGTTCGCTCCGGTATCAAATCTGGCTCACGCGAGAGACAGAGAGAGGTGTGCATGCTTTTCTTGTTTAATTAATGACCTGATGCTTTGTGCTTAAAGTATGAACTTCTGTAGATTATCACCAAGAGCAAAGAGAAAAATCACGTAAGCTTCTCCAAAGAATACAATGGACCACATATCTCTTCACTCTATCCGGACTCCAGAGACGTGCAATCTACAAATGATACTGATTATGTGTCAAGAAACGTCAAAAGTTAACCATCCTACAACGAGCACCATCCAGTGTTTAGTCAAAATCACTTCTTCATTCAAAGGTGAAACCATCTTCATCTACTTGGAATCAAAACCTTTTCCGAGCCCAATTCAGCCGCATTCCATATGCAGCCTTGTTTGATGCAGCAGAGTCCCAGACTGGAGTTCTCCTCCAGAGTCTAGACTCCTTGCAATGAAATCAACCTGAAGACAGATGGTTCTTTTGTTTTCTCGTGCTATTCGCGCAGCACACAAGTGGCAGCTGCCTGAACCATTTCATTTGTCTACTTTTAATCGACGAGTAACATAAGTACGGTGCACCCCTGAGTAACGAAAGAGTGTTTAGGCATGTTGGGGAGTGAGCTAAAAGAAACTTGCGGCTGCAAAGACCCTGGGAGATCTCTCCTAGGAAAGTTGAGGAAGATCAGGAAAAAGAAGAAGAAGTCGAGGCACACAATATCAGAGTAACATGACAATGCTGCATTTGCACAAAGATCTTCCCATCATTCTCTCCAAGACAGAACAGCAATAGGCAAAACCGATCGCTCGGTGCAGATAATTTCAGAGAAACACGGACGCATTGAGACCATACCCTATCGTACTCGAAATTGCAGAGCTGAACACCAAAACAGGTAACTCGAGAATCAATATGAAATCCTCAGGAACATAACTATTAAGCCACCAATCTTGTTCTGTTTTAAAAAGGAATGGAAAAGGAAAGTTACTGCTGAAACACTATCGAAGATATAATATTCTTTCGGAAGAAGATTGGCATTATCAAGAAAAGAAAGTCTATGATCTACATATGAAAAAACCCAGATCATCTTCAGAGAGATTGATGAACATGTACAGACCTGTTCCTTTATGCAGGTTTCCATCTAAAGGAAAAGAGACCCAAAGAATCCTCGACAGCAAAAGTTCATAATTAACTAAGAAAATTAGTAAAAGGCCAAAACTTTCTCATCATGATGCTCAGTGATTTTGTTATTGTTACAGAAGAGCAGCATCTCTTGAATGCCTAGTCGAGCAACAACAAAAAATCTGCCTCGAACCCATTTAAACTTAGCATCCAAAGTGCAAGAAAGCCAAAGTTGGAACATACAGCGGGCCTGGAACTGATAGAGTCGCGCGTTTTTTTCTGAGTTTTTTTTTTTCTCGAGAGCTCCTATTTAGTCCTAGTATGATAATTGTAATCAAGTCCTTTAATTTACTTCATTTTCTCAATCAAGTCCCTTCGCCAGTCACGAATTAGGGACAACTCCCCCTAATTTCAGTCTCAGCAAGAGTTGAATATATTTTTATTTAGGGTTAATACCAAGAAAAATCCTAAACTGGTACACCTGTGACACATTTACCCCAAATTATTTTTTACATGATAAATGATAGATAGAGTCGCGCGTTTTTTTCTGAGTTTTTTTTTTCTCAAGAGCTCCTATTTAGTCCTAGTATGATAATTGTAATCAAGTCCTTTAATTTACTTCATTTTCTCAATCAAGTCCCTTCGCCAGTCACGAATTTAATTAGAACAATATGTATACTCCCGCTAAAATTCACGGTCGTCCCAAGACTCCTCTAATCCTCACAAGAATTCAAGAAAGAATGACAGTAGCGTATAATCTCGTGGTTTTCCCATTTTCAACTCAACATTATTGTTTCCTTAAAAGTAGATATTTCAAATAGATGTTTTGGTAATCAATTGTTTGTATTTTAATTGAGTGTGTTTTATGATGAGAAAAGCTTTGACATGGTTAATCATGTATTTTTATTTTTTTGGGTTGAAGTCAATCATGTATTTAATACCCATATTATGTTGGG